TCCTGGTCTGGTTCTGGACTGGTTCTGGTCCGGTCCTGGTCTGGTCCTGGTTTGGTCCTGGTCTGGTTCTGGACTGGTTCGGATCTGATTCAGTTCGGTTTTCCACCAGATTGCTGACCATAGTTACCATAGCAACGCCTTGTTTACTGTTTTTTTTCCGTATTTCAGTTATTTTCAACAGTTTTAGCTCTTTATTAAAAGTGACCAAAGGTAGAAACTGAAAGACAACTCTTTTGGAGGATAATCTCTCAGAATAACAGAAACAGAATCAGTCTCAGAGTCATAAAGGCGACAGAGGTTCCTGCTCCGTCCTTACACTCAAACACAAGACTAGAAACGGGTCTGGATCATAAAGAGCCCGAGTCTCCTGGATCATAAAGAGCCCGAGTCTCCTGGATCATAAAGAGCCCGAGTCTCCTTCACCTCTGAGCCTTTCACAACAGCACATCCTTTCACGTGTTGCAGCAGTTTATATTTATCAGATCGAGAACGGTCAAAGTCCTGAAGAGACGACTCGGCTTCGTGTTCACAACAAACCAGCAACACACCAGCAACAAACCAGAGACTGAGACCAGAGACTGAGACCAGAGACTGAGACCAGAGACTGAGACCAGAGACTGAGACCAGAGACTGAGACAGGAGACTGAGACCAGAGACTGAGACAGGAGACTGAGACCAGGCTCTGAGACCGGGACCAGGCTGTGTTCACAACAAACCAGCAACAAACCAGAAACCCGGACCAGGCTCTGAGACCGGGACCAGGCTGTGTTCACAACAAACCAGCAACAAACCAGAAACCCGGACCAGGCTCTGAGACCAGGACCAGGTGAGACGCTGGTTTGTAGCATGAGTGAAACTGGATAATATTTAATACATTACCTCAGTTTAATGTTTAGGTTTTTTTTGGTTAATGTCAGCTTTATTAACTGTTACTTTCTTGCTTTTCTCAATGAAATACCAACAAGCTAACGGCTGACGGCTAATGTCCAGATGTAAACACACAACTATAATAACTCCTGCACTAGAATCAACACTATTTTATGTTTGCTTCTTTCACTTTTGAGGTCCACAGCACACGGTTATTTCCTGTCTCTGCAGAGAACCTATCAGAGCTTCCACTGTCTCTGCAGAGAACCTATCGGAGCTTCCACTGTCTCTGCAGAGAACCTATCAGAGCTCGCCACGCTCAATAACACAAATACCAATCAATCAACACATTTAAATATTAATGGGAGAATACATTAGACGTATCCATTCTTCACGCACGGGCACAGAGGTTTTCAGATTTATCTGTTAATGTTTTCATGACACAAACACTGTTTTAATGCGAGAAAAAGCCATTGCAAAAAACCCGGCAGTAGATTCCGGAACATTTTAGGAACATTTGCAGAGGATGGAATTATGGATTTAGGTTAAGTTTATGTTTGGGTCACTCACCGCTGACAGGATTCTGTGTTCAGTTTTCATGCAGTTCCAGAGAGTTCTAGTTTGGAAGTTACTAGCCTAACTGTTGCTAGCCTAACTGTTACTAGCCTAACTGTTACTAGCCTAACTATTACTAGCCCAACTGTTACTAGCCTAACTGTTACTAGCCTAACTATTACTAGCCCAACTGTTACTAGCCTAACTGTTACTAGCCCAACTGTTACTAGCCTAACTGTTACTAGCCTAACTGTTACTAGCCTAACTGTTACTAGCCTAACTGTTACTAGCCAAACTGTTACTAGCCAAACTGTTACTAGCCTAACTGTTACTAGGCTAACTGTTACTAGCCTAACTGTTACTAGCCAAACTGTTACTAGCCTAACTGTTACTAGCCTAACTGTTACTAGCCTAACTGTTACTAGCCTAACTGTTACTAGCCTAACTGTTACTAGGCTAACTGTTACTAGCCTAACTGTTACTAGTCTAACTGTTACTAGCCTAACTGTTACTAGCCTAACTGTTACTAGCCTAACTGTTACTAGCCTAACTGTTACTAGCCTAACTGTTACTAGCCTAACTGTTACTAGCCTAACTGTTACTAGCCAAACTGTTACTAGCCTAACTGTTACTAGCCTAACTGTTACTAGCCTAACTGTTACTAGCCCAACTGTTACTAGCCTAACTGTTACTAGCCTAACTGTTACTAGCCTAACTGTTACTAGCCTAACTGTTACTAGCCTAACTGTTACTAGCCTAACTGTTACTAGCCTAACTGTTACTAGCCCAACTGTTACTAGCCTAACTGTTACTAGCCCAACTGTTACTAGCCTAACTGTTACTAGCCAAACTGTTACTAGCCAAACTGTTACTAGCCTAACTGTTACTAGCCAAACTGTTACTAGCCTAACTGTTACTAGCCTAACTGTTACTAGCCTAACCGTTACTAGGCTAACTGTTACTAGCCTAACTGTTACTAGCCAAACTGTTACTAGCCTAACTGTTACTAGCCTAACTGTTACTAGCCTAACTGTTACTAGCCTAACTGTTACTAGCCAAACTGTTACTAGCCTAACTGTTACTAGCCTAACTGTTACTAGCCTAACTGTTACTAGCCCAACTGTTACTAGCCTAACTGTTACTAGCCCAACTGTTACTAGCCTAACTGTTACTAGCCTAACTGTTACTAGCCTAACTGTTACTAGCCTAACTGTTACTAGCCTAACTGTTACTAGCCTAACTGTTACTAGCCTAACTGTTACTAGCCTAACCGTTACTAGCCCAACTGTTACTAGGCTAACTGTTACTAGCCTAACTGTTACTATCTCAACTGATACTAGCCCAACTGTTACTAGCCTAACTGTTACTAGCCCAACTGTTACTAGCCTAACTGTTACTAGCCTAACTGTTACTAGCCTAACTGTTACTAGCCTAACTGTTACTATCTCAACTGTTACTAGCCTAACTGTTACTAGCCTAACTGTTACTAGCCTAACTGTTACTAGCCAAACTGTTACTAGCCTAACTGTTACTAGCCTAACTGTTACTAGGCTAACTGTTACTAGCCTAACTGTTACTAGCCAAACTGTTACTAGCCTAACTGTTACTAGCCTAACTGTTACTAGCCTAACTGTTACTAGCCTAACTGTTACTAGCCTAACCGTTACTAGGCTAACTGTTACTAGCCTAACTGTTACTAGCCAAACTGTTACTAGCCTAACTGTTACTAGCCTAACTGTTACTAGCCTAACTGTTACTAGCCTAACTGTTACTAGCCAAACTGTTACTAGCCTAACTGTTACTAGCCTAACTGTTACTAGCCTAACTGTTACTAGCCCAACTGTTACTAGCCTAACTGTTACTAGCCCAACTGTTACTAGCCTAACTGTTACTAGCCTAACTGTTACTAGCCTAACTGTTACTAGCCTAACTGTTACTATCTCAACTGATACTAGCCCAACTGTTACTAGCCTAACTGTTACTAGCCCAACTGTTACTAGCCTAACTGTTACTAGCCTAACTGTTACTAGCCTAACTGTTACTAGCCTAACTGTTACTATCTCAACTGTTACTAGCCTAACTGTTACTAGCCTAACTGTTACTAGCCTAACTGTTACTAGCCAAACTGTTACTAGCCTAACTGTTACTAGCCAAACTGTTACTAGCCTAACTGTTACTAGCCAAACTGTTACTAGCCTAACTGTTACTAGCCTAACTGTTACTTGCCACGGGAAAGCCTTTGGGAACAATTTTATTTGCTGTCACTAAACAATCCTTTCAGCATTCATAAAAGTGACTGAAGTTTATGTTGTGTGTTCTGTTGTGTGTTCTGTTGTGTGTTCTGTTGGTACAAAGCCTACTGTACATTATCCCTTACATATTGTATAGGCTGTTTCTTTTGGGACGCACAAAATGTAATTATGAGCAACACAAATCCTCTAATAATGTAAACAATATTTATAGATTGTATACATGTTATACTTTCTTTGTGGAGTTTGCATGTTCTCCCCATGTCGCCGTAGGTTTCCTCCAAGTGCTCCGGTTTCCCTTACCACTAAAAACATGTACAATAGATCTGGCATGTGTCTCCCATCTCTGTGTGGAGTAAAGACAAAAGACCACAAAAAACAATAACAAAAACAATTGTAAAGTCTTTTGTGACTGGTCTGTGCAAAGGGCTATTTAAATAAAGATGATTTACTTACTTTACTTAGTACCACCTTAAAAGTAATAATCTGTCCTCATTAAAGGGCCCTAATCTGTCATCATTAAAGGGCCCTAATCTGTCATCATTAAAAGGCCTTAATCCGTCATCATGAAAGGGCCCTAATCTGTCATCATTAAAGGGCCCTAATCTGTCATCATTAAAGGGCCCTAATCTGTCATCATTAAAGGGCCCTAATCTGTCATCATTAAAGGGCCTTAATCCGTCATCATTAAAGGGCCCTAATCTGTCATCATTAAAGGGCCTTAATCCGTCATCATTAAAGGGCCCTAATCTGTCATCATTAAAGGGCCCTAATCTGTCATCATTAAAGGGCCCTAATCTGTCATCATTAAAGGGCCTTAATCCGTCATCATTAAAGGGCCCTAATCTGTCATCATTAAAGGGCCTTAATCCGTCATCATTAAAGGGCCCTAATCTGTCATCATTAAAGGGCCCTAATCTGTCATCATTAAAGGGCCCCAATCTGTCATCATTAATGGGCCCTAATCTGTCATCATTAAAGGGCCCTAATCTGTCATTATTAAAGGGCTCCAATCTGTCATCATTAAAGGGCCCTAATTTGTTATCATTAAAGGGCAAAACAACAACAAAACGACAAAACAAGGAATAAAACCAGGATTTCTATCTTTGTGAAAAAGGTGTTGGTTATAGATTTGTTGTTGACAAAACTCTTGTCTATTCAGCTGTTATGGTCCCAGCTGGATTCGTCTGCATATCTGGCAACCTGAGTCAGGGAGAGTGGGAGAGGCTGCAGTACCACTGTTGGCCACATTTGTACATCTGCTCCTAACAGTAAATAATGAATATGATATAAAACTGTGAACGACCACACGGCTCCAGTGAAGCCTCGTCACTGGGGCAGATGTGGCTCTCTGTGTGCGTTCTTTCTTCTCGTCTTCAAAGCTCTGAAACTGGAGCCGCTGTCACTGTCTCTCCTGAAGACTGGTGGGAACTGGAACAGACTCACACCATAGTCCACACCATAGTCCACACCATAGTCCACACCATAGTCCACACCATAGTCCACACCATAGTCCACACCATAGTCCACACCATAGTCCACACCATAGTCCACACAGACCCCAGAGAGTGGCATATTTATTTATATAGCACCATTATACAATACAAAACATACAAACAATTAAAATTAGGAATGCAAAAATAAATACACATACAACACAAACACACACACATACACACACAGTACATACACACATGCACACACACACAAATACATATATACACGCACATACACATACACACACACACACACACACACACACAAATACATATACACACACACATACATACACACACATACATATACAGATATACACACATACATAGGTAGATACACACAGGATATACACACACATAAACATGCATCCATCTGGAACACCAATAATAAAAGTGTATGTAAACATAGTGCAGTTGGAGCAGCAGCTGAAGTGAGAGCTCCACAGACGAGAAGGTCCTGATGTTTGGGACTCTGAAAATATATGTTGTGTGGTTTGAAACACATAATCCAAATCTAAATCATTTCTCTTCAATCATACACTGCAAAAACATGATAAAAATAAGAGGTAATAATGGCTTGAAGCTTGTGGTCTCTTTGTCTTAGTCCAGTGGTGTCCAAACGTTTCAGTAGGAGGGCCACTTTAGTTCACCAGAAATGTCCCCTGGGCCGGCAACATAGGTAAAAAAAAGTTAATGTTGGCAAAATGACGAATGTTTACTGTATGATCGTCACAAAGAGTTACAACATATACTGGAGGAGCTGAAGTTGGCTTGACCCTGTGAACTTGTTCTCATGATCTCAAGGGCTACTTTGGGTGAGCAAGGCAGAGGGCCACATAACATGACACAGAGGGCCGCAATTGACTCGTGGGCCATAGTTTGGACATGCCTGTCTCAGTACATTCTTATCAGATTCTCCAACGGGACAAAGACATTTAGTCTCATTTCAAGGACCATTTCTTTATTTTCTCATTCCAAGAGATACATTTCTCCCTGAGGACTAAGGTCAGTTATCTCCTCTGATTTGTATTGTCCTAGTATGATCTGTGCTATACAAAAAAACTTGCCTTGCCTCTAAAAATCGTGTTCATAACACGGCATTAGACGGATATTAATACTTTGTTTAATAATCAGAGTTTTACAAGTGTTAATGAGCCACACACACATTTCTCCTCAGCCCCCGAACTGCGTAATCCACTAAGCCACAGGTGGCCGCAGGATTCAGAGAGCTCTACATTTTTTTGCCAGAGTTCACACACACACACACACACACACACACACACACACACACACACACACACACACACACACACACACACACACACACACACACACACACACACACACACACACACACACACACACACACACACACACACACACACACACACACACACACACACACACACACACACACACACACACACACACACACACACACACACACACTCTCCTTGCTCTGTGCTCAGGCTGCTGCTGCTGAGCTGAGGCCTGAGAGGGTGGAGGCGTCAGTGGGGACAGACAGGGCACCTGGGCAGGGAGCAGGAATCTCAGCCACCACAGACCCATAGACCCAACAAATAGACGGACAAGGACACCGCTGGGACCCGTCTGTGCTAAAGAGAACCGGAGCCAAGACAGACGCCACAATGGACCGGGATGCTCTGGTGGACTACGAGTATCCGGACTTGGAGCCTCTTCCCACCAAAGTCCAGCAAGAGTAAGTCCTGGGTCCAGCTTTGTGTGGTTTTTCTGTAGAGATTTGAGGTCGTCCTTGGCTCTATCTGCAACTCTTTAGAGCACAGTTCAGACAGTTTTATCAGTGTGTGTGTGTGTGTGTGTGTGTGTGTGTGTGTGTGGGTAGGTGTGTGTGTGTGTGTGTGTGGGTAGGTGTGTGTGTGTGAGGATTCTCGATATTAGCTGTCAACTTGGCAGACTTCCCCAGAGCTGGGAATGAATGGGGTCATGTTTGGGTTTCATGCAGCGCCAGAACTGTGTCAAATCAGAGCTGCCGCTGGTGTTGCTGGTGTTGCTGGTGTTGCTGGTGTTGCTGGTGTTGGACTATGTAACTTTTCTCTCTCATCCCTCTCTGTAAACTTTATCATACTTAAAACTCATACTTTTGATTACTTTATGACAGTCAGAAGTTTCCCATCTCTGCACAGGTCTGGCCTATGACGATGCCCGAGGGTATGACCTGGCACCACACACACAATCATGACAAACGTGGTTTTTACACTGCAAAAAGTGATGACAAAAAGGGGAAAAAAATATATATCTTAAATGTGTTTTGTGCTAAATGTGTCTTCACTTTCAAAAATCTTGTTTGAAAAAGATAAAAGAAAAGTCTTCCACACTGAAAAAAGTCAAATCTGGGTTAGATTTCTTTACTAAAAATAACATAAATTATTATTGTTATTATTATTAAGTTTATTTTTGCTTGAATGTAGTTTGTCATAAATTTATTTGAAGATAATAATTCTTCATAATCTTAGAGAAAAAAGTCTGAGCAGTGAGTTTTTAAGTATTTTTTTCTTCTTCTTTAGATAAAATAAGTTTGTGATGCTATATTTTAAGAAAACAATTCTCAAAAATGTTTAAGCAATAAGTAAATAATCCTAAAAAATGTATGTTTTTATTCTAGAATCAAGTCATTTGGGGCTAGTTTTATTTACTTAAGTCACATTTTCATATAATTTTTTCTTATTTTAAGCAGTATTTTACTTATTTTCATATATATTTTGTTTATTTTTTCCAAAGGATTTTTTTCCAGTGCTTGGAATGAGGAAAATAAATCCACCGTTTTTGAAATAAAACTAAACAGCTTTGTCCCGTTCTTGTTTTAAGTCAGAATTAACCCAAATGAAGACTAAAAAAACATCTCAATTCAATCTTTTATCACCTCATAACTCATCATTTTTTGCAGTAACATTGACAGCCACATGTAGCTAGCACCTACCATCAAGCTAGCTCTGTAAAAAGCGCTACATTCGGTCTCCGGCTGCAGCAAAGTAGCTCCCGGCTTATGTTGTGAAAGCTACATTCTTGTCTTTGCGATTAGTCCTTTCTGCTCTTCAGGGAATGCGAACAGCCGCTTGTTCCTCCGTGTCACGCTGATGCCAATCCGTTTAAACACAAATCTCCACACGGCGGGTTTGTTCCAGCTCCGACATGTGCGGCACAAGTCGGAGCTGCACCATAGAGAATAATAATAATAATAATAATAATAATGGTTTTGTTGTTTCAGAATCATCGGCCCGTGTGACCCGACGGCGGATGACAAACTCTACCACATTTCCATCACTGCCATTTCTGTAAGTCTCTCTGTCTCCGAAAAGTCTCATCACATTGTGTCTGTGAGGAAGAGGAAGAGGAAGAGGAAGAGTCATTCCTTCATTCATTCATGAGGCCTCACCCGACAGGCCTGGGCTCTGTACACTGCAAAAAAATGATCAAATATGAGGTAAAATGGCGTAATCTGACACATTGTGACTGTGTTAAAACTAGATTCTCCAACGGGACAAAGTCAAAGATCATTTTGCTTTGTCCCATTGATGATTTTGTTTTAAGGCTCAGTCAGAATGTGCTCAGATTTAGATACATTTTGACCAAATTTGGGCAAAGTGTTTATGTATTGTTGATTTGGTTGGGACGGTACATGTTAATGAACACACGACTCCGGATTGTAGCCATGTCATTTTTAGTCCGTTGTCCCACAATCGCACACTCAATCATTCACTCTGAACTACGCAGACACGGGGAGAACATGCAAACTCCACTCAGAAAGGCCCTGTCGCGACCGGGATTTGAACCCAGGACCTTCTTGCTGAGAGCCGAGAGTGCTAACCACTCAGCCACTGTGTCACCCAAGTTTTGCAGTGTATATTCTGACTAAATGGTCTAGTTCAGGCTTTCCGACCTGTTTCCACAGAGAGCTACTCCTTCGCTCTTGTATATAATAATAATTGTAATCATTTTTATTTTTATTATGCCTTATTCTATTCTATACTTTCGACTTGTTTTCACCGAGAGCCAAAGCAATTCCTCATCTGTGACTTCCTGTGACTTATTTGGCAATAAACATGATTCTGGGCAGTTCAAAAGTCAATATTATAGAATGGTAGAGAATGGGATTGGGTTGTTTTACGGTATTTCACTTTAAAACTACGGTGGCTTCGCAGGACAATATGTGGTCTTTGACAGTCGTCCCTAAACTCCCGCCCAAACTCCTTTTTGTCCCTCATCAGCCACTGTATTTCAAGATGGTGGATTGACACAGCGAGTCCTCGGCCTCATGGACATTTATAAGTCAAATTCTAAGTCTATGAAAAGAATTCAAAAACATGGTGGAGGTAAATAAAAATATTCTTAAAAAGGTCACATTTGTCTTCTGTGTAGAAAATACACAGAGGACCTTTAAATCCATTAGAATGTATTTTCCAAGATGGCCGACTTGTACTGGGGTCATGTCTGTGCAGATGGTAACGTGTCCTCTCATTGCAAGTACAAGATGACCCGTTATGCTAACATATGCTAATGCTAACGTCTCTCTCCGTGTTTCCAGGTGGTGATCATGCTCATACTCGCCATTTTAGCGCGAAAAAATTGGTCTCCCTCCAAACAGAGCAGTGTCGCCGGGTTGTTCAGGTGAGTGGGTCCTCGGTGTGTTTCGTTTGGATCAGAGTTTGGTGGTTTTTCTTTGGACTCGGGTCCTAAATCCTTTGGGTCCACAGTCCGGTGAACTTCCTGGACCATACGCAGCACAAGGGGCTGGCGGGGGCCGTGTTCGGGGTCCTCCTGTGTCGTCTGTTCGGGATGTTGATGTCTGAGGACCCTCTGCCCTTCACCGCACACACACAACACAAAGGTGAGACACACACAACACAAAGGTGAGACACACACAACACAAAGGTGAGACGCACACAACACAAAGGTGAGACACACACAACACAAAGGTGAGACACACACAACACAAAGGTGAGACACACACAACACAAAGGTGAGACGCACACAACACAAAGGAGAGACACACACAACACACCAAAGAGAGACCAGAGAGAGACTAGAGAGAGACCAGAGGGAGAGACTAGAGAGAGACCAGAGAGAGAGACTAGAGAGAGACTAGAGAGAGACCAGAGAGAGACTAGAGAGAGACCAGAGAGAGACTAGAGAGAAACCAGAGAGAGAGACTAGAGAGAGACCAGAGAGAGACTAGAGAGAGACCAGAGAGAGACCAGAGAGAGACCAGAAAGAGACCAGAGAGAGACCAGAGAGAGACTAGATAGAGACCAGAGAGAGAGACCAGAGAGAGACCAGAGAGAGACCAGAGAGAGACCAGAGAGAGACTAGAGAGAGACTAGAGAGAGACTAGAGAGAGACCAGAGAGAGACCAGAGAGAGACTAGATAGAGACCAGAGAGAGAGACCAGAGAGAGACCAGAGAGAGACCAGAGAGAGACCAGAGAGAGACCAGAGAGAGACTAGAGAGAGACTAGAGAGAGATTAGAGAGAGACTAGAGAGAGACTAGAGAGACCAGAGAGAGACCAGAGGGAGACCAGAGAGAGACTAGAGAGAGACTAGAGAGAGACCAGAGAGAGACCAGAGAGAGACTAGAGAGTGAGAACAGAGGGAGAGACCAAAGAGAAACCCGAGAGAGACCAAAGAAAGCACACACACACACACACACAAACACACACACACACACACACACAGACACACACACACACACAGACACACACACACACACTTATGCAACAGGATCATTGGGCTTAGAATGGGGACATAATCTTGAAAGAAATCTATTTATTGCACAGTATTTCAGAAGTAGGAGATCGGGCCTTTGTCTCCTGCTGGTCACACTCACTGCTCCTGCTGGTCACACTCACTGCTCCTGCTGGTCACACTCACTGCTCCTGCTGGTCACACTCACTGCTCCTGCTGGTCACACTCACTGCTCCTGCTGGTCACACTCACTGCTCCTGCTGGTCACACTCACTGCTCCTGCTGGTCACACTCACTGCTCCTGCTGGTCACACTCACTGCTCCTGCTGGTCACACTCACTGCTCCTGGTGCTGCTGTTTGTCTGAGCCGTGATGTCATCTATGGACTGGGCTTTTGTAAAACTATGTGGGTTTTATTATTATTGAATCTGTCTGTGAATGATAATGTTAAGATGTGACACGGACCAAAAACACATGAAAACTGGTGATAAAACCAAACCAGGAGTTAGACATTTATTTGGTTTTAAAGTCAGGCTCAAAGGCCAGTGTTCTACCAACAGTGGCTCAGTTGGTAGAGCGTTGGCCTTTGAGCCTGAAGGTTGTGGGTTTCGAGCCCACCTCAAGACCTACTTCACGACTCCCACTGATGACTGCTGTCGTTGTGTCCTTGGGCAAGACACTTAACCCCACTTTGCCTGAAGCCCCCGCTGAAAGATCTCAGCTCCTGTGGACTCAGCGCCTGCAGGAGGATCAGTGAGAGGCTGGTGCTGTGTGCAGCTCTGACTGCCACCCCCCGACCCAGAAATGGATTAAGGGGAAGAAAATGGGTGGATGGAAGAACAAAGAGAGAGACCAGAGAGAGACAAGAGAGAGTCCAAAGAGAGAGACCAGAGAAAGACCAGAGAGAGAGACCAGAAAGACCAGAGAGAGAGACAAGAGAGAGTCCAGAGAGAGAGACCAGAAATACCAGAGAGAGAGACCAGAGAGAGTCCAGAGAGAGACCAAAAAGACCAGAGGGAGAGACGAGAGAGAGACCAGAGAGAGTCCAGAGAGAGACCAGAAAGACCAGAGAGAGAGACAAGAGAGAGTCCAGAGAAAGAGACCAGAGAGAGTCCAGAGAGAGAGACCAGAGAGTCCAGAGAGAGACCAGAAAGACCAGAGAGAGAGACCAGAGAGAGTCCAGAGAGAGACCAGAAAGACCAGAGAGAGAGACGAGAGAGAGACCAGCGAAAGAACAGAAAGAGACCATAGAGAGGAAATGCAATGATAAAAACACACAGACATTGGTCCGTAAGGGGCGGAGACCAAAAACCATAAATGTAAATAAATTCCATAAATGTGGTTGATTGTCCTTAGACCCTCTTATGTCATCAAGTAACAACACAATCTTGATGAATATGAATCTGTGGTGTTTTTATGTGTTTTGCAGATTATTGGGTGATCCTGGGAATCTTCTACTACCCCGCCCTGTACTACCCGCTCCTGGCATGTGGCACTTTACACAACAAAGTGGGCTACGTCCTCGGCAGCCTGCTCTCCTGGACACACTTCGGAGTTCTGGTTTGGCAGAAGATAGACTGCCCCAGGACGCCACAGGTGACTGAGACAGAGAGAGAGAGACCAGAGAGAGAGAGATCTGAGAGAGAGAGAGAGCAGAGAGAGAGATCTGAGAGAGAGACCAGAGAGAGACCAGAGAGAGACCAGAGAGAGAGCAGAGAGAGACCAGAGAGAGACCAGAGAGAGACCAGAGAGAGGCCAGAGAGAGAGCAGAGAGAGACCAGAGAGAGACCAGAGAGAGGCCAGAGAGAGAGCAGAGAGAGAGCAGAGAGAGACCAGAGAGAGACCAGAGAGAGAGCAGAGAGAGAGCAGAGAGAGGTCAGAGAGAGAGCAGAGAGAGAGCAGAGAGAGGTCAGAGAGAGAGCAGAGAGAGACCAGAGAGAGAGACCAGAGAGAGAGCAGAGAGAGACCAGAGAGAGACCAGAGAGTGAGGCCAGAGAGAGGCCAGAGAGAGAGAGAGCAGAGAGAGAGCAGAGAGGTCAGAGAGAGACCAGAGAGAGAGACCAGAGAGAGACCAGAGAGAGAGCAGAGAGAGACCAGAGAGAGAGCAGAGTGAGACCAGAGAGAGGCCAGAGAGAGAGACCAGAGAGAGACCAGAGAGAGACCAGAGAGAGACCAGAGAGAGACCAGAGAGAGACCAGAGAGAGGCCAGAGAGAGACCAAAGAGAGACCAGAGAGAGACCAGAGAGAGACCAGAGAGAGAGCAGAGAGAGACCAGAGAGAGACCAGAGAGAGACCAGCGAGAGAGCAGAGAGACATTTAATTATTGCCTCTTTATTATGCTAAAGTTAGAGATTTTTATTTTTATTTTAGCGAGTTACTGTATTTCTCATTTGTATTGTGACATTCTGGTCTCTCTCTGGTCTCTCTCTCTGGTCTCTCTCTGGTCTCCCTCTGGTCTCCCTCTGGTCTCTCTCTCTGGTCTCTCTCTCTGGTCTCTCTCTCTGGTCTCTCTCTGGTCTCCCTCTGGTCTCTCTCTCTGGTCTCTCTCTCTGGTCTCTCTCTCTGGTCTCTCTCTCTTTAGTCTCTCTCTGGTCTCTCTCTTTAGTCTCTCTCTGGTTAATTAAGAAGAAACCAGTCCCAAACCTGTATCTTTAGCATAACAAAGAAGTCCAAACCCTCTTCTTCTTGATCCTCGACAGTTGGACTTTGGCTGAACTCTGAGACTGATGCCTTTCTTTCTTTCTTTCTTTCTTTTTTCTGCAGATCCACAAATACTTCTCTCTTTTCTCCAGTTTTCCACAAATAGCCTGTTTGGCATTCCTCAGTTTCCAGTACCCGCTGATGCTGTTCAAGGGCCTCCAGGGCACGGACTCAGACAATGCAGACGAGGTGAGTCCTGGTTCAGTCCTGGTCTAGTCCGGTTACAGTCCTGATGCAGTCCTGGCGCAGTCCTGGTCTAGTCCTGGCCCAGTCCTGGTCTAGTCCTGGTCCAGTCATGGCCCAGTCCTGGTCTAGTCCTGGCCCAGTCCTGGTCTAGTCCTGGTCTAGTCCTGACCCAGTCCTGCAGGACCTTTAAAAACACCCATTTAAAAAAAAAATTCACATTTTTCTGTCTTTTGCACGTTCTGAGTGATCCTATTTATGACAATTTTGGCGTGTACAATTCTCCAGAGTGAGACAAATATCAATTAAATTTATCTTAAATAATTTACAACAACAAAAACTAGTCCGATCTGGTCTTTGGTCTGTTGTCATTAGACCGGTGTCAGTTGTACGGTTTTTTTTTATTCCGTTTTTTGAGCAAAACCATTGGAAATATACTAGTTTTATATAACACTGAGGTACTTTTCAATCTCCATGGCAACCAGTGTGGAACCCAAAATACACAGTGCTTTAGGTCAACACTCGCACTGCAAAAAATGATAAATATGAGGTAATAATTGCTTGAATCAAGTGGTTTTTGTCTTAGTTTGAGTTCATTGTGACTGTGTTAAAACAAGATTTTCCAACGGGACAAAGACATTTAGTTTTGTTTGGCTTGTTTTTCATAATGTTTTGCAGTGTAGTAAAGGCTTCTGTAAAGATCCTGCACATAATGTATCTCACACACCTGGTATTCACTCTTGGGGTTGATCCAGACCTGGTTTCTACCCTTAGCCAGTCCCCTTACCCGGTCCCCATACTTAGTCCATACCCAGTCCCCAGACCATATCCCCAGACCCAGTCCCCATATCCAGACCTTACCCAGTCCCCATACCCAGTCCCTATAGCCAGTCCTTACTCAGTCCATATAGCCAGTCCTTACTCAGTCCCTATAGCCAGTCCTTACTCAGTCCCTATAGCCAGTCCTTACCCAGTCCCCATAGCCAGTCTTTACCCAGTCCCCATAGCCAGTCTTTACCCAGTCCCCATACCCAGTCCCTATAGCCAGTCCTTACTCAGAGCCTATAGCCAGTCCTTACTCAGTCCCTATAGCCAGTCCTTACTCAGTCCCTATAGCCAGTCCTTACCCAGTCCCCATACCCAGTCCCTATAGCCAGTCCTTACTCAGTCCCTATAGCCAGTCCTTATTCAGTCCCTATAGCCAGTCCTTACCCAGTCCCTATAGCTAGTCCTTACTCAGTCCCTATAGCCAGTCCTTACTCAGTCCCTATAGCCAGTCCTTACCCAGTCCCTATAGCCAGTCCTTACCCAGTCCCCATAGCCAGTCCTTACTCAGTCCTCATAGCCAGTCCTTACCCAGTCCCCATAGCCAGTCCTTACTCAGTCCCCATAGCCAGTCCTTACTCAGTCCCTATAGCCAGTCTTTACTCAGTCCCCATAGCCAGTCCTTACTCAGTCCCCATAGCCAGTCCTTACTCAGTCCCCATAGCCAGTCCCTATAGCCAGTCCTTACCCAGTCCCTATAGCCAGTCCTTACCCAGTCCCCATAGCCAGTCCTTACTCAGTCCCCATAGCCAGTCCTTACTCAGTCCCTATAGCCAGTCCCCTTACTCAGTCCCCATAGCCAGTCCTTACCCAGTCCCTATAGCCAGTCCCCTTACTCAGCCCTATAGCCAGTCCTTACCCAGTCCCTATAGCCAGTCCCCTTACCCAGTCCCCATAGCCAGTCCTTACCCAGTCCCCATAGCCAGTCCCCTACCCAGTATAGCCAGTCCCCTACCCAGTCCCCATAGCCAGTCCCTATAGCCAGTCCTTACCCAGTCCCCATAGCCAGTCCTTACTCAGTCCCTATAGCCAGTCCTTACTCAGTCCCTATAGCCAGTCCTTACTCAGTCCCTATAGCCAGTCCCCTTACTCAGTCCCCATAGCCAGTCCTTACCCAGTCCCTATAGCCAGTCCCCTTACTCAGCCCTATAGCCAGTCCTTACCCAGTCCCTATAGCCAGTCCCCTTACCCAGTCCCCATAGCCAGTCCTTACCCAGTCCCTATAGCCAGTCCCCTTACCCAGTCCCCATAGCCAGTCCTTACCCAGTCCCCATAGCCAGTCCCTATAGCCAGTCCTTACTCAGTCCTTATAGCCCAGATGTTTCTATTGTGCTTATGGGTTTGTCTTATGATGAAGATGAAAACCTGGCTGCTAAGATTAAGGAAGTGATTGAGGAAGGCTGTGCTTGTGATGACGGGGTGACGCTGGTTGCTCTGGAGAGGCTACGCGCACGAGGACCAGGCCCCGGCGTGGTGAAGGTGGCGTTTGCATCGGCTAAGGAGAAAGTGGCTGTGCTCCGGGGCAAAACAAACTTGAAATCCCAGGACAAGTTTAAGAAAGTCTTTATTAGATCTGCAAAATCGCATACGGAGCGCGTAATGGAAGAAAACTTCAAAGTGCTTCTGCATGATCTACCAAATGGATCCGACTATTTTGTGTCGGGGAATGGAAGGGTTCTCCGGCGCGGTGACCGAGGAGCGGAGCGCGCGCCCCCGCCGCTAGCGTCCGCTCCTGCAGGTAGCAGAGGAGGCGGCCAGGCACGGAGACGCTGAGGAAACGTAGTCAATTCAGTAAGAAATGATTCATCTTGTTTGTCTTTAGTGCACTGGAACGTAAATGGCTGGACAAAAGCAAACTGTACACTTAGGGCTTTAATGCTACAGTCCCTAAACCCCGATATTATTTCCCTTAACGAAACGCATTTGGTGGCTGAAGATGTTGTTGAGCTAAACGGTTACAGCTGGTTCGGAAATAACAGAAAAAGACACATAAAAGCACCAAAAGGCTCCAGTAGAGTTGGATTTTTGTTTAGAAGCAAACTTTTTGAACACTTTAAAATCAAGGGGGTGGATAAGTCCGCAGATGACATTATAGGAGTGCATTTTGAACACCGGAGTACGAGTTATAATTTTGTGGTGTTTTCTTGTTATCTGTCCCCGGAGGGATCTGTTAGAGGGAGAGACTGTGAAGAGTTCTTTGCTCGTTTACTGACTAAAATTTACAGTCTAGATGTGGATGCGATTTACATCTGTGGCGACTTTAATTGTCGTATCGCTGATAAAGCGGACTGCATTGAAGGCTTGGACAATATTCCACCAAGAGTGGCGATAGATCTAACTTGTAATAGTCATGGTGACTCTTTTCTTGATTTTTTGAGAGACTCAAAGTGTTGTATTTTAAACGGCAGGCTTAATGTAAATGATGATAATTTCACCTCTGTTTCAGTTCGAGGCAAAGCTGTTGTAGATTATGTTGTGACGCCTCATACCTGTCTAGAATGTTGTGTTGATGTTAAAGTGATCACTGCCACAGACCTCCTTAACAAAAATGCCGTAGAATGTTTGCCTCTTATTGGAGATCGATGTCATTTACCGGACCATTCTTTAATCCAGTTTATTTTTAAAGTGGATACCCAACTAACTTCTGAAAATAACCCCCCCTGTGTAATTAAAAGGAGACATACACCATTCCCTGAGACATTCCTAACATCTATAGCTGCCGAAGGGCAGTGCAAGAACTAGAAAATAAATTAGGGCTGTGCCACAATACTCAGGAGGATGTTGATAAATGGTATGAGGATTTTTGTAAATTTATTAGAGGTGAAATAAATTCATGTCAAAATTGCAAATTTAATAAAAAACATCATTTTAAAAAGGGTGTAAAGCCTTTTTGGAACGCCCATCTTCAAAAGTTATGGGAGGAGCGAACAATAGCAGAGAGAGAGTTTCTCAAGTGTAAAGTGCCTCAAAATAAACAAGATCTGAGGGAAAATTATAAGCAGAAACAGTCCCTTTTTGACAAATTTGTAAGATTTTATAAAAGAAGGTTTAATAGGGGTCAAGCATTAAAACTTGACCATTTACAAACAAGCAATCCACAACAATTTTGGAAAGAGATTAATAGATTGGGACCAAAAAGAATTAAGACAATTCCCATGGAAGTTATTATGGAAAACGGTGCAGTGGAGTTGAGAAAAGAGCGAGTTGTTGAAAAATGGGAACTTGATTTCTCCAATTTATATTCAGGTCTGACTAATATTGAAGACTTTGACCCTGCTTTTGGTGTTCTCTCAGTTCAAGTAAAAGAAAATCTTGAATTAATTTTGGGTGATAATAGCCGATCAAATATATATATGAATTTTGATATTACTTTGGAAGAAGTGAGCGATGCTCTCAATAAGGCCAAACTGAGGAAGGCTATGGGAGTGGAGGAAATTCCAAACGAGGTGTTAAAGTCTCCACATCTTAGGCATATGCTTCTTGGTTTATTTAAATTTTGTTTTTACAACGGTATTGTTCCCTCTACGTGGTATAAATCAATCATTAAACCTATTCCCAAATCACCGAAAGATGACCCACGCATACCTCTCAACTACAGAGGAATTAGCCTCCTCAGTACTGTCTACAAAATTTACTCTAGTATTTTAAATGCTAGATTAAGTTATTTTTTGGAAACAACAGAGTATCTAGTAGATGAACAAAATGGATTTAGAAAACACAGGGCATGTATTGATCATATTTATTCGGTATCAGCAGTAGTCCGAACTAGATTAATTGAAAACAAACCGACTTATGTCTGTTTTGTGGACTTTAAAAAGGCCTTCGACTGGGTGAATAGAGATCTGTTAAGTTTGAAGCTTCTCCAGGCCGGGGTTGATGGGAAGTTCTACTGGGCTTTAAAGTCCCTGTATGCAGACTGTGTGGGATGTGTGCAGGTGAATGATGAGCAGACTGAGTGGTTCCGTATCCCCTTTGGGGTAAAACAGGGGGATATTCTGTCCCCATGCCTGTTCTCTCTGTTCATAAATGATTTGGCTCTTGAAATGAAACATCTGAACTTAGGCGTGCACCTAGACAGTGTGACTGTGGGCATTCTGCTCTACGCTGATGATGTAGCACTACTGGCTGAAACTGAAGAGGATCTACAGAAAATGTTAAATGTTTTACACAATTGGTGCTGTAGATGGAGACTTGTTATAAATCAAACAAAAACACAAATTATGCACTTTAGGAAAAGATTTATTTCACGAAGCACAAACGTTTTTACTTTTGGCAATACCATTCTTGAGTATGCAGCCCAGTATAAGTATCTAGGATTCGTATTTGATGAATTTATGACATTTGACAGAGGAGTTAAAATCCTAGCTGCTTCAGCCAGTAGAGCCCTGGGTTCTGTGATAAACAAGTTAAAAGTCTGTAAAGATCTTGGTTATGGAACATTCTCTCAGTTGTATGCCGCCTGTGTGTCGCCTGTGCTAAACTATGCTGCTGGTGTGTGGGGGGCCGTGCAGAGCCCAGCCTTAGACGCTGTAGAAAACCGTGCAATCCGCTGCTTCTTGGGAGTTCATAAGTTTGTCCCCGTGCTGGCAGCGCAGGGCGATATGGGCTGGGTTCCTGGATCAATCCAAAGGAAATGTGAAATGGTGAGACTGTGGAATCGACTCATTAACCTGTCTGAAAATAGAGTAACAAAAAAAGTCTTTCTATGGAGTAAAAATAAGTGTCCTTGGGCTGCAGAGCTCCGGACTGTCTTTGCTGATGCACAACTCCAGTATGTATTCCAGAATAATTTGTCCTGTAGTGTTAAAACCATCAGATCAATTTTAATGTCAAACTTTGAACACAAATGGTTGACTGGGATCATGGCAAAGCCAAAGCTAAGGACTTACTTACAAATTAAAGATGTATTTGAAACTGAGTTGTATGTAAAGGCAAACCTGACAAGGAACCAAAGATCTTTGATGGCTCAGCTGCGAACTGGCATCCTTCCCCTGGCCATAGAAACTGGCAGGTTCACTCAAGCTCCTGAAGAGGACAGACTCTGTAGACTGTGTGAGTTAGGAGAGATTGAAAGTGAAACTCATTTTGTGTTATATTGTCCACAGTACGATGATCTTAGAAAATGTATTGTTTGGTGAATTGTTTGTTCAAAAGCCTGAAATGTTCTGGATCAGTGATGACGACAAGATGAAATGGTTGTTTACTTCTAATGTGTTTAAATTGGCTTCTTTTGTTTGTAAAGCCTGGTTGAGGCGGCAGACTTGTTTGTTTAAATAAGTTTATGTATTGTATAGTGTGCCTATTGTCTGGCATCTGGTGCTTTTGTTGGTGTTACTGGTGTCTTATAAGCCCATTAGGGCTGGGCATACAGTGTGTATGCAAGACACAATAATAAAAACTATTCATTCATTCATTCATTCATTCATTCATTCATTCATTCATTCATATAGCCAGTCCCCAGTCCCCAGCCCCAGTCCTGAGCAGAGACTGGGGCCCCGTGCGGCACATGAGCCATAATCATATTTAAGCAGATTTAAGTGGTTTATGTGGTGTTCTTGATCAGATTATGAAAAGGTTGTGCCTTGTTTTGTTCATGGAGCAACAGTCTCCAGTTCATTTCATGCTAATCTCCCGTCGCTGCGACAAAGCCAGGGCTGTGTTAGCGCCTCACGCCACCGAGGGCCTAAAATAAACTGTTACCGGGACTTTACTCCTAACTCCAACTACACACTGTATGTAACGGTGCAAAACTGGATTCCATTCAATTAGGACTTTACAAAGTTGTTGATTCGCCAACACAGATCAGAGAATCAATTGCTGCACAGGAAATTCAATTAACCATTCAAAAAACCATGGATCTATAATAATATCTGGATAGAGTATTATTAGCTTATAGCTGTCCCACCCATGGCCACAGGGGGCGCTGTGGTACTGCAGACTACACGTTACCCAGAAAAAAGTCCCATAGAACTCAATGTAAACTAAAACAGCTGACAGAGAACCTGATGGAGAACCAGAAAGAGAACCTGACAGAGAACTTGACAGAGAACCTGACGGAGAACCAGAAAGAGAACCTGACAGAGAACCTGACGGAGAACCTGAAGGAGAACCTGACAGAGAACCAGACAGAGAACCTGACAGAGAACCTGACAGAGAACCAGACGGAGAACCTGACAGAGAACCTGACAGAGAACCAGACGGAGAACCTGACAGAGAACCTGACAGAGAACCAGACAGAGAACCTGACAGAGAACCAGACAGAGAACCAGACAGAGAACCAGACAGAGAACCTGACGGAGAACCTGACGGAGAACCTGACGGAGAACCTACCAGAGAACCTGACAGAGAACCTGACAGAGAACTTGACAGAGAACCTTACAGAGAACCAGACAGAGAACCTGACAGAGAACCTGACAGAGAACCTGACAGAGAACCTACCAGAGAACCTGACAGAGAACCTGACAGAGAACCTGACAGAGAACCTACCAGAGAACCTGACAGAGAACCTGACAGAGAACCTGACAGAGAACCTACCAGAGAACCTGACAGAGAACCTGACAGAGAACCTGACAGAGAACCTACCAGAGAACCTGACAGAGAACCTGACAGAGAACCTGACAGAGAACCTGACAGAGACCCTACAGAGAACCTACCAGAGAACCTGACAGAGAACCTGACAGAGAACCTACCAGAGAACCTGACAGAGAACCTGACAGAGAACCTGACAGAGAACCTGACAGAGAACCTGACAGAGAACCTGACAGAGAACCTGACAGAGAACCTACCAGAGAACCTGACAGAGAACCTGACAGAGAACCTACCAGAGAACCTGACAGAGAACCTGACAGAGAACCTACCAGAGAACCTGACAGAGAACCTGACAGAGAGCCTGACAGAGAACCTGACAGAGAACCTGACAGAGAACCTGACAGAGAACCTGACAGAGAACCTGACAGAGAACCTGACAGAGAACCTACCAGAGAACCTGACAGAGAACCTGACAGAGAGCCTGACAGAGAGCCTGACAGAGAACCTGACAGAGAACCTGACAGAGAACCTGACAGAGAACCTACCAGAGAACCTGACAGAGAACCTGACAGAGAACCTGACAGAGAACCTGACAGAGAACCTACCAGAGAACCTGACAGAGAACCTACCAGAGAACCTGACAGAGAACCTGACAGAGAACCTACCAGAGAACCTGACAGAGAACCTGACAGAGAACCTGACAGAGAACCTGACAGAGAACCTGACAGAGAACCTAAAGCTTTGATTCTGTGGCGAGTCGTCCTGAACTTTATTTCTTATTAGATCCTTTGGTTTCTACACAAATCCACTCACCTGATCAGCAGCTCTGATTGGTCAGAATGCACGGGCCTGAGAGCCACACATGCTTATTTGGCGCAATGCATCATGGGAGGACCAGAGGATGCCCAAATATGGTCGAGTTCCACTAATCTCCCGCTCCCCTGGCTGTTCCATTTGCTACTGAGCACAAGCCATTGATTTGAATAGGACGCCATGTATCCCCAGGGTTTGGAAAAAACACATAGAGCCATTGGTCCATAAATCCACTTTATCCATTGCACACTTGGTCAGTGCTGTGATGGGAGACCTCTGGGAACAGCAGGGGCCACAGTGGGGCGGCTGTGGCTGTAAACTGTGGTTGTGTCCTTAGGCAAGACACTTCCCCCACATTAGAATGAGTCTGGTGTGTGTGTGTGAGTGGTTGGTGGTGGTGGGAGGGGCCGACGGCACAGACTGGTTGCCTCGCTTCTGTCAGTGTGCCCCAGGGCAGCTGTGGCTAAAATGGTACTTTATCACCACCGTGTTTGGAGAGACAGAATAATAAGAATACTGTAAAAATCCCATGCATTATTATTATTATTATTAAAATACTTTCTTCTCTCTTTTCTACCAGGACCTGAACAGCAGCTACTACCGAGACTACGTCAAGGAAATTCTAAAGAAGAAGCCCAAAAAAATCAGGTCAACTTTTTATTTATTTTCTTATTTAACACCAAACACACGCGGCTCAAATGTAAAATATTGAATCTACATGTTTATAGTCCGTCCAGTGAGACGCCGGGTCTGATGCAGAGAGTCACTGATGCGGTCAAGTCCTACATCTACACACCAGAAGAAGGTGATGTCACATGTTTCTTCCTCTCTTCAAATGAAATGATCTCAAAGAATCTAAATGTTGTTCTTCTGCTCAAACAGCTTTTCGTTTCCCTCTGAAGTTGTCAATCTCCTGCGTCGTGGCCTTCATCTCCCTCTATCAGGTCTGTCCCTGTTTCTCTACTGTACTTCCTCTGCAAGTAAAGCTCAGGTTCATGACTTTCAAACACATCATTAACTGTGTATTTTTTATCCATCGAATTGATTTCTCTCTTGTTCCATAGTTTTCACAGACAAAGAGTCATTGATTATTCTACAGTAAGAGCTCTGGTCTCCCTCTCTCTGGTCTCCCTCTCTCTAGTCTCCCTCTCTCTGGTCTCCCTCTCTCAGGCCTCTCTCTGGTCTCTATCTGGTCTCTCTCTCTGGTCTCTCTCTCTGGTCTCCCTCTCTCAGGTCTCTCTCTGGTCTCTCTCTCTGGTCTCTCTCTCTGGTCTCTCTCTCTCTGGTCTCCCTCTCTCTGGTCTCTCTCCCTCTGGTCTCTCTCCCTCTCTCTGGTCTCCCTCTCTCTGGTCTCTCTCCCTCTCTGGTCTCTCGCTGGTCTCTCTCTCTGGTCTCCCTCGCTGGTCTCTCTGGTCTCTCTCCCTCTCTCTGGTCTCTCATGGGCTCTCGCTGGTCTCTCTCTCTGGTCTCTCTCCCTCTCTCTGGTCTCTCGCTGGTCTCTCTCTCTGGTCTCTCTTTCTGGTCTCTCTCTCTGGTCTCCCTCTCTCGCTCTGTTTTTTTGCAGTGTAGGTGCAGAAGGAGGAGGCCATGACACAGACAATGGGACAGCGGGTGAATAGCAATGAACAGTTTACTTTTTGCGCTGCAGGTGGCGCTGCTCCTGGTTCTGAGCGTGGTACCGACGCTGCAGACGGCCCGGATGGGCGTGGACCTGGACATCGCCAAAGTTTTGGCCGGATTCAAAATCGAACTGTCCCAAGATCCTCACGAGGTGAAGAGGCTCGTCATCTACTACATGTGGTGCTTCGAAGGTGAGAGAGGGAGGGAGGGAGGGAGAGGGGAGAGAGGGGAGAGAGAGAGAGGGGAGGGGGAGAGAGAGGGAGAGAGGGAGGGAGAGGGAAGAGAAAGGGAAGAGAGAGGGGAGAGAGAGGTGAGGGGGAGAGAGCGGGGGAGAGGGAGGGAGGGAGAGAGAGGTGAGGGGGAGAGAGGGGGAGAGGGAGAGGGGGAGAGAGGGGGAGAGAGAGAGAGGGGAGGGGGAGAGAGAGGGAGAGGGAGGAGAGGGAGGGAGAGGGAGGGAGAGGGAAGAGAGAGGGAAGAGAGAGGGGAGAGAGAGGGGGAGAGGGGGGGGAGAGAGAGGGGAGAGAGAGGGGGAGAGGGGGGGAGAGAGAGAGAGGGGGAGAGAGAGGGGAGAGGGGGGGAGAGAGAGGGGAGAGAGAGGGGGGGAGAGGGGGGGAGAGAGAGGGGGAGAGAGAGGGGGGAGGGGGATGGAGAGAGATAGATGATAGATAGATAGATGAAAGTATAAACTTAGTAATTGTTGTGTTTTCAGTCTGCTACATCTCGTCCATCTCTCTGTCTGCTCTGGTCAACCTGGTCATGCTCATGCGCTCCATGGTACTGCACAGGTACAGACCACACCAGGACCAGACAAGGACCAGACCAGGACCAGACAAGGACCAGACAAGGACCAAACCAGGACCACACCAGGACCATCACCAGCACCACACCAGGACCATCACCAGCACCACACCAGGACCAGACAAGGACCAGACCAGGACCCGACAAGGACCAAACCAGGACCACACCAGGACCACACCAGGACCATCACCAGCACCACACCAGGACCAGACAAGGACCAGACCAGGACCAGACAAGGCCCAAACCAGGACCACACCAGGACCACACCAGGACATGACAAGGACCAGACCAGGACCAGACCAGGACCACACCAGGACTATACCAGGACCACACCAGGACCACACAAGGACTATACCAGGACCACACCAGGACCACACCAGGACCACACAAGGACCACACCAGGACCACACCAGGACTATACCAGGACCACACCAGGACCACACCAGGACCACACCAGGACTATACCAGGACCACACCAGGACCACACCAGGACCACACCAGGACCACACCAGGACCACACCAGGACCACACCAGGACCACACAAGGACCACACCAGGACTATACCAGGACCACACCAGGACCACACCAAGACTATACCAGGACCACACCAGGACTATACCAGGACAACACCAGGACCACACCAGGACCATACCAGGATCACACCAGGACTATACCAGGACCACACCAGGGCCACACCAGGACCACACCAGGACCACACCAGGACTATACCAGGACCACACCAGGACCACACCAGGACCACACCAGGACCATACCAGGACCACACCAGAACTATACCAGGACCACACCAGGACCACACCAGGACCACACCAGGACTATACCAGGACTATACCAGGACCACACCAGGACTATACCAGGACCACACCAGGACCACACCAAGACCACACCAGGACCACACCAGGACCACACCAGGACCACACCAGGACTATACCAGGACCACACCAGGACCACACAACAACTATACCAGGACCACACCAGGACCACACCAGGACCACACAAGGACCACACCAGGACCACACCAGGACTATACCAGGACCACACCAGGACCACACCAGGACCACACCAGGACTATACCAGGACCACACCAGGACCACACCAGGACCACACAAGGACCACACCAGGACCACACCAGGACTATACCAGGACCACACCAGGACCACACAAGGACCACACCAGGACTATACCAGGACCACACCAGGACTATCCCAGGACCACACCAGGACCACACCACGACCACACTCTGCTTCACTCAGCACAAACATATAAAGACAAAACGCCCAAAGTCTCCTCCCGTAAGTTAGAGTAAGGCCCGGAAAGTTTATTTATATAGAGCAGAAGCCTGTCTCACATTTTCAAGAAGACTGCTCCAGATTTTAGGGACAGTCTGAAATGCTGCCTCCTCCTGATTCGTTCTGACTCGGGGACCAGCAGGAGACCAGTCCCTGTGCTCCTCAGAGTCCCAGCTGGAGGCCAGTCCCTGTGCTCCTCAGAGTCCCAGCAGGAGTCCAGTCCCTGTGCTCTTCAGAGTCCCAGCAGGAGTCCAGTCCCTGTGCTCTTCAGAGTCCCAGCAGGAGGCCAGTCCCTGTGCTCTTCAGAGTCCCAGCAGGAGGCCAGTCCCTGTGCTCCTCAGAGTCCCAGCAGGAGGCCAGTACCTGTGCTCCTCAGAATCCCAGCAGGAGGCCAGTCCCTGTGCTCCTCAGAGTCCCAACAGGAGGCCAGTCCCTGTGCTCCTCAGAGTCCCAGCAGGAGGCCAGTCCCTGTGCTCCTCAGAGTCCCAGCAGGAGGCCAGTCCCTGTGCTAAGTCTGAGTCTGGTCCCTGTAGGTCTAATCTGAAGAGTCTGTACCGAGGAGACGTCTTCAGTGTTTACAGTCGTCAGAGAAGGATCCGTGCGTCACGTCCTGCTCTGGTTTGTTGGATGAGCTACACCAGCTACACCGCGGCGCACACTGTCACCGGTACGTTACACACAACACACACGTCACACACATCACACTAAGGGTGGGAACCTAAGAGTATCTCACGATACGATACGATACACGATACAAAGCTCACGATAACGATATTATCACGATAACGATATTATCACGATAACGATATTATCACAATATGACGATTATGACAGTAGCTCAGTTGGTAGAGCATTGGCCTTTGGGCCTGAAGGTCGTGGGTTCAAGCCCACCATAAGACCTACTTCATGACTCCCACTGATGACTGCTGTCGTTGTGTCCTTGGGCAAGACACTTAACCCTACTTTGCCCAAAGCTCCCACTGAAAGATCTCAGCTCCTGTGGACTCACCACCTGCAGGAGGATCAGTGAGGGGCTGGTGCTCTGTGAACTGGGTGCAGCTCTGACTGCCACCCCCCCGACCCAGAAATGGATTAAGGGGAAGAAAATGGATGGATGGATGATCAGAAATATACAATATGCCAATTTATGGCATAAATAAAAGAAAAAATTCACTTTATTTCATGATAAATGGAGATGCGTAATGTAGCCATATATTAAGTTTTTATTATTGTAAAAAAAAAATAATAATTCTATCGATACTTGGCAAATGCATGTTGATAATTGAATCACTGGAGAAAGTATCGCAATATATCGATATATCGTCACACCCCTACATCACACACACACACACACACACACATCACACACACACCACACACATCACACACACATCACATACACATCACACACACACACACACACACATCACACACACACATCACACACACGTCACACACGTCACACACACGTCACATACACACACACACACACATCACACACAACACACACACATCACACACATACAACACACACACATCACACACACACACAACACACACGTCACACACACACAACACACACACATTACACACACACAACACACACACATCACACACACACATCACACACACACAACACACACACACATCACACACATTACACACACACAACACACACACAACACACATCACTTTTTGCAGTGTTGGAAAATACCTAAAAAGGAATGTAAGAAATGCATTAGCTTAGCATTAGCTTAGCATTAGCTTAGCATTAGCTTAGCATTAGCTTAGCATTAGCTTAGCATTAGCTTAGCATTAGCTTAGCATCACGTCCGTACAGATGTGTCCACAGTCACAGCGGTGTGCGTCCTTGACCTGTCTCTTGCTTCTGTAGCGGTGCTGATCCAGACCCTGGTGTTCTTCCTCTCTCTCTTGGTGGCGGTCTTCCTCGTCATCATCCCCGTCCTCCACGGACAGAACCTGTTTCTGTTCCAGGCTTTATGGAGCATGTGGTCAGTGCCTCAACTCTTCAATCTGCATCTTTGGTTGAATACATACACTGCAAAAAGGGATGAAAAATACTTCAAAATGTTTGGTAAAAATGTGTCTGACTTCGAGCACATTCTGACTGAGCCTTAAAACAAGATTTACCAATGAGCCAAAACAAATTGATCTTGTTTTAAAAATATACAGAAATGTTTCTCTTAGAAAATAAAACAACAGTTCTTGAAATAAGACTGAATGGCTTTGTCCCATTGGAGAATTCTGTTTTATTCCTGGTTTAATCCTGGTTTAGTCCTGGTTTAGTCCTGGTTTAATCCAGGTTTAGTTCTGGTTCAATCCTGGTTTAGTCCTGGTTTAATCCTGGTTTAGTCCTGGTTTAATCCAGGTTTAGTTCTGGTTTAATCCTGGTTTAGTCCTGGTTTAGTCCTGCTTTAGTCTAAACAGCTTTGTCCCGTTGGCATATCTTGTTTTAGGACCAGAATTAGGATAAAAACCACTGGATGAAGTCGTTATTTCACGGGCGGCACGGTGGCTGAGTGGATAGCACTCTCGCCTCTCAGCAAGAAGGTCCTGGGTTCGAATCCCGGTTGGACCAGGGCCTTTCTGAGTGGAGTTTGCATGTTCTCCCTGTGTCTGCGTAGGTTTCCTCCGGGTGCTCCGGTTTCCCCTACCACTAAAAAATATGTACAATAGGTCTGGCATGTGCCTCCTGTACTGGCCCCGCTCCCAAAAATAACAATTGTAAACCGCTTTGAGACTCCGATGTGCAGTGAAAAGGCGGTATATAAATAAAGATTACTTACTTATTACCTCATATTTAATCATATTTAGTCATGTTTAGTCATGTTTAATCATGTTTTGCAGTGTTCCAAACTAAAGCTGAGGTCTGTGTTTTCTCCTCAGGCCGTTCTGGTTGATGATTGTTCTGGTGGTGCTGATGCAACACGTCTGCGCCCGGTTCTTCTTCATCAAGAAGACGTCTGGGACAAAAGACTTAGACAACAGGTGGAGACAGACACACAGACACACAGAGAGACAGACACACAGACACACACAGACAGACACACAGACACACACACAGACAGACACAGACACACAGACAGACAGACAGACACACAGAGACACACAGACAGACACAGACACACAGACAGACACAGACACACAGACAGACAGACACACACAGACACACAGACAGACACAGACTCACAGACACACACAGACAGACAGACACACAGACACACACAGACAGACAGACACACACACAGACAGACACACAGACAGACACAGACAGACAGACAGACAGACACACAGAGACACACAGACAGACACAGACACACAGACAGACAGACAGACACACACAGACAGACAGACACATGGAGACACACAGACAGACACAGACACACAGACAGACAGACAGACACACACAGACAGACAGACACACAGAGACACACAGACAGAGAGACAGACAGACACACAGACAGACAGACAGACACACAGACAGACAGACACACAGACAGACACACAGAGAGACAGACAGACAGGAGGATGTCCAGGGCTCTCTATCATGTTGGATTAACTGGGCACATATGTAACTGTTAAAGTAACTATAACTTGTGTGTATAAGTAACTGTAACTTGTGTGTATAAGTAACTAACTTGTGTGTATAAGTAACTGTAACTTGTGTGTATAAGTAACTAACTTGTGTGTATAAGTAACTGTAACTTGTGTGTATAAGTAACTAACTTGTGTGTATAAGTAACTAACTTGTGTGTATAAGTAACTAACTTGTGTGTATAAGTAACTAACTTGTGTGTATAAGTAACTAACTTGTGTGTATAAGTAACTAACTTGTGTGTATAAGTAACTAACTTGTGTGTATAAGTAGCTAACTTGTGTGTATAAGTAACTAACTTGTGTGTATAAGTAACTAACTTGTGTGTATAAGTAACTAACTTGTGTGTATAAGTAACTAACTTGTGTGTATAAGTAACTAACTTGTGTGTATAAGTAACTAACTTGTGTGTATAAGTAACTAACTTGTGTGTATAAGTAACTAACTTGTGTGTATAAGTAACTGTAACTTGGGTGCTGGTCCAGGGTGAAGCTCTTCCTGATGACCTACCTGCTGTTCCCGGTGAGCGTCCTGCTGGGCGTCCTGATGTCGGCGTGGCGTCTGGTCGTCACCGCGCTCTTCAACATCGTCCATCTGGGACGAATGGACATCAGCCTGCTCAACCGCAACGTGGAGGCATTTGACCCAGGTAGCTTTGGTTAAGTCATGGTTTAGTCCTGATTTAGACCTGGTTTAGTCCTGGTTTAGTCCTGGCTTAGTCCTGGTTAAGTTCTGGATTAATCCTGGTTTAGTGGAGGCATTTGACCCAGGTAGCTTTGGTTTAGTCCTGGTTTAGTCCTAGTTTACTACTAGTTTAGTTCTGGTTAAGTCCTGGTTAAGTCCTGTATAGGAGCCAAATATGTGTTTTTCTTTGCGTAATTGGTCTTTGTGTCCATGAGGGGGCGCATTCATCTTTTATATGAATCATGAGCTCAGGGTTGAGTGCAGGTGTGACCCAGAAGGGCAAATTGGTTTTTGACCGCACAAGCGGAGTTTGTTTTTCACTGTTTCTCGTGTGATACCACTGTGGATCCTTTTAATAGCACTGTTAAATAAATGAAGATTATTGCATCGTACCTTTTGAAGACTTGGAGGATTTTATTGAGCACAACAGAGCAACCACAGCATAGCCGCTTAGCGCGTCATCAACAAGCCTGGGTCTACAGCCTCACACTAGCAGCATTGGGCTGGCTATTATACTGTCAAAAACCAATTTGCCCTTCTGGGTCACACCTTAAATCCAATGCATTGGTAACGCCGTGGAATATATCTGAACTCGTTCACGCGTTCGGGAGCCGTCACGTGACTATTTGACCTACTTTCGTGTTGTGTCCTCGGGTGAACTCTATCGCGAACCTGAGCTGTCGCGAGACTTTATTGCGTCTACACGAAGATAACTTTCACTGGATCTTACAATGTTGGAAATGGACAAAAATGTTGAACAGGGTGATAATGAAGTGGAAAGTCACAAGCGCAGCATTAAGTTAACTGAAAAGGCATTAGCTGAGAAAATGGATAAGTTACAGAATACAAGAAAGTCTAAACTAAATAAAGCAGGTAACATTCGAAATGAGCTAAAAGAGTTTATGTCTGAGTGTGATAAAACAAAGGTTTTAAATGCTGTTGATGAATTAAGAATTGTGTGTGATGATGCACAGAGGTTTCATGAGACATTGTTGGGTTTAATGTCAACTGAAGAGGGTGACAAACATGAAGTATGGTTCAGAGCTAAAATGCTCCCAAATAATGAATGTTTTTCCACTGTAAAACAATGGCTCTCTCAAAATGAAACTAACAAAGATAATGAAAATGTGGAAATTACTCCAGCAGACAGTGTGTCAAATGCAGGAAGTTACCAAAGTAACAAAAGCAACAAATCAAATTCATCTGCTAAATTAAAGGCAGCAGCAGAAAGGGCTGCAATCCTGGCACGTGTGAAAATATTAAAGGAGAAACACGCTATCGAGGAAGAGGAGGCTAAGCTTCGTAGAAGGAAGGAAATGTTGGACTTGGAAGCTGAATTGGTGACCTCCGAAGCAAAATTGGAAATGTACAATACTGAGGAGGAGCGCCATTCCCAAGTAAATTCAAATGCAAAGGCCACAAGCATTAAAGGAGCAACATGGAACACTCTAAACCCTTCTGCCAATTCATTCATTCCTCAGGGCAAAGCTACAGAAACAAATGAAATAAATCAAAATGTCCGCCACACAGCAGTAAAGGGTAAAATAATGGATTCAAGACCAAAGGAAAAACCTGCCATCATCCAACAGCACCACCAAGTGAAACTCAATCAACCCACAATGGAAACTCAAATGGATATCAAACAAAATGAATCTTTATCACACAGCAGTTTACAGTGGCCTGCAGAGCTTCTCAACATTATGAGCAAACAAACTGAAATCACTGCAGCTCTAATGAATCAGCAGCGATCCATGACACTTCCCCCAAGAGACATTCCTATCTTTGATGGTGACCCACTACATTACAAACCATTTATAAGAGCATTTGAACAAGGTGTGGAAAGCAAAGCCTCTGTGGCCGACAGCTTGTACTATTTGGAACAATTCACCCGGGGGACAACCCCGTGAACTGGTGTGCAGTTGCCAGCATATGCCACCAGACCGTGGATATGTTGTGGCCAAAGCTCTATTACAAGACCACTTTGGAAATCCATACAAAACCGCTACTGCATATATTCAAAAGGCTATGTCATGGCAAAATATAAGAACTGATGACACAAAGGCACTCCAGAGCTATGCCCTCTTTCTTCGAGGCTGCTGTAACATCATGGAGGAGCTTGAGTACATGCAGGAGCTGGATATGCCAGTAAACATGAGGGCTATCCTGGTGAAACTGCCCTACAAACTGAGAGAGAGGTGGCGAACCAGAGCACATGACATTATGGAGTCTACTGGATACAGAGCTGGATTCCATGACTTGGTGGAATTTATTGAGCGTCAAGTAAAGATTCTTTCTGATCCTTTCTTTGGTGATCTGCAGGACTATAATTTAAGTGTATCAAATCAAAGAACCTTCAAATCGCAACCAGGAAGCGGAATGAAAGGAAATGTGGTGGCCAGCACTGTAACCGAGAATACACATGGAGACGATGGAGAAAGTAGCCAGACACTATCAACCACAGACCAGAACAACCAGAAAAACTGTTTATGCTGCTCTATGGAACATTCACTGGAACACTGCAAGCAGTTCAATGGGAAACGACACGTAGACAAAGTGCTTTTGCTGAAAAGAAAGGGAGTGTGTTTTGGCTGCCTTCGACAAGGCCACATCAGCCGTGAGTGTCAAGCGAGGCTTACATGTGAAATCTGTAACCAAAGTCATCCTACAGTGCTGCACATAAACCGTCAAACACGTGCCCTGGAAGGTGAAATGGAAACGACGCAAGTACCAACTCCTCACACTACATGTGGACATACAGGGGCCGGAAAGGACCGCACTATGCTACCGGTGCTGCCAGTTCAAGTCAAGGTTGTGAAAGGGAACTGCATAATTCAAACATATGCATTCCTGGATCCAGGTAGTACGGGGACATTTTGTTCGGAAAGGTTGATGCATCGGCTTAATGTAGCTGGAAAACGAACGCACATTCGTCTGCGGACAATGGGTCAGACAAGAAAATGTTCAGCTTTCTCATTGTTCAATCTCGAGGTTGCTGGACTACGTGGCACCCAGTTCTACCCACTTCCAGAAGTCATCACACAGCAACAAATGCCTGTCACCACGCAAGACATGGTTAAATCCGATGATCTGCAAAAATGGCCATATTTGTCACAGGTTCATATGCCATTCATAAATTCAGAGGTTGACTTGTTGATCGGAGCCAATGCACACAAGCTACTGGAACCATGGGAGGTAGTTAACAGTCAAGGAAACGGACCATTTGCAGTTAGGACTGTGCTCGGCTGGGTTGTAAATGGCCCATTGGATAGAAACGCAGATCCTAGTATTCAAAGTGTGACTGTGAATAGGATTTCAGTCTGCAAATTGGAGAAACTGCAAGTAAAACAGTACAACTATGATTTTAGTGAGAATGAAGCTGAAAAGCAAGACACATCAATAGACGATATTAAGCTTATACAAATGATGGACTTGTCTGCAAAATTACAAGATGGAAAATACTGTGTGAAATTACCTTTCAAAAATAACAATGTCCACTTACCAAACAATCTTGCTGTGGCCAAACAAAGGATACAAAGGTCGAAGAAAAATCATGCGTAACCTGGAATTCCACCAGAGAGTAAAATGTAAGCACAAGCAAGCAAGTGGATTGAACGCAAGTCCTGTGGCATATAACACCAAAGGCCGCCCAAACACAGTGGTTGAGCCCACAAGAGTGTGTCTAACATTGGACGAGGTGGATAATGCAGAATTCTCCATTATACGTTATTGTCAGCGACAGAGGTTCAAAGATGAATTGGAGGCCCCACAAAACAACAGAAGAGTAAGTTGCCAGAGTTTCATATCTTCTCTGGATCCTGCTCTACAGGATGGATTGTTGAGAGTGGGTGGCAGGCTAAACAAAGGTGCCATGCCAGAGGAAACAAAACATCCGTTAATCCTGGCCAAGGAACCTCATGTAATCAGGCTCATCCTGAAGAGTGCCCATCAAGATCTTGGACATGCAGGACGGATGCATACTCGGTCATCAGTGAGAAGGAAGTACCAGGTTATCAAAGGCAACTCTGCTGTGCGGAAGATTATTGGTAAGTGCAGCATCTGCAGGCAATACACTGCACAACCCTTGGATCAAAAATTGGCAGACTTGCCTGCAGTCAGAATTCTGCCTGACCGTCCTCCAATTACGAAGCTGTCAGAAGATCCACACAATTTGGAACCTATTACACCCAACCGCTTGTTGTTGAGAGGCAAACCCTCCCTTCCTCTTAGAGTTTTCAAACCGGAGGACCAGTATGGACGGAGGAGATGGAAGCAGGTTCAATACCTAGTCGACCGGTTCTGGAAGAAATGGGGTTAGAGTATTTACCTTTGCTCCAGAAGCGACAGAAATGGAATGAAAAGATCTGGCTTTAGGGTATGTTGTGGACATTATGATCCATCGGCCCACGGGGACCTGGGCCTCTTAGAAGAGTTTTGGAGGTATTCCCAGACAGTCACGGTCTGGTTCGATCCGTGAAACTCAAAACAAAATCAAACTAACTTGAGAAGCCAATAGCCAAACTGTGTCTGGTACATGGCTTTTGAAGTCACAAAATAAAGCAGAATTATTTGTCTCCTTTTTGTTTTTGAAAATGAATTGCCATGACTGTTTACCATGCCAATTAGGGGCCGGTGTATAGGAGCCAAATATGTGTTTTTCTTTGCGTAATTGGTCTTTGTGTCCATGCAGGGGGCGCAAGCTATAATCTGCAAAAAAAAAAATTGTCTTGACCTTCATCTTTTACCGTTTTTAGAGCAATCTGCCATAGAATGTGATAACATGCAATAAATACAAAAATACATAGCCCGGGATCGAACCCAGGTTCCAGCATGCGTCGTAAACGCACAGTTTAGACCACTAGACCAGGGGTTCACACGAACCAAGTACTTCTGTCCAAGTATGATCCGCGTGTCTCGCGTGTCTCCGCCTGTCTGGGTTCTGTCTGCGTATATGTAAATGTCTGTCTGTGGTTCTGTTCGGGTGTCTATGGTCCTGTCTGTGGTTCTGTTCGCGTGTCTATGGTCCGCGCTCGGAGCCCAGACTGCAGTGCGTTCACTGAGCTGTGAGAGCGGGGGTCACAGCAGCTGCTGCCGGGCCCAGAGCGGAGGATGTAACGTAACGTTCGGTTTATCAAAACATATCACAATATTTAACGTATAACACTAGTGAATTTCACCTCGATTTTTTCAGACATTAAAGACAAGATGTTATATAATAATTGTTTAATGAAAAAACAATTTTGCCACAAGCAACCAAAAGATGTGCCTCAGACAAGAATTGAACATGGGTTCTCCAGGTCCCAGTCTTTAATGCTACCATTCGGCCAACATAGCACCTCTGGGCTAGACAGGTTTGCACGCAGTCTTATACCTGAGCGTCTAAGTCGCTGGCAGAGCTAAAGCGGACTTAGCCTGCCACCTTGTGGCGATAAGATGTACTATTTTTCACGCAGCTGCGTGATTCCCGAGAAGCGTGAATGAAGACGACAAAACGGAATGGGACCTACTGTAGAATCACAATTGTTGGATGCCAGTATGCAATTCATGATGTTTCTGGCCTGTTTTAAGCGTTTCAAGTGGTTTGCTGCATGAAATTCACTTTTACAACAGAATCAGTTCAAATACATAGAATCACAGTTGTTGGATGCCAGTATGCAATTCATGATGTTTCTGGCCTGTTTTAAGCGTTTCAAGTGGTTTGCTGCATGAAATTCACTTTTACAACAGAATCAGTTCAAATACATAGAATCACAGTTGTTGGATGCCAGTATGCAATTCATGATGTTTCTGGCCTGTTTTAGGCGTTTCAAGTGGTTTGCTGCATGAAAATCACTTTTACAACAGAATCGGTTCAAATACATAGAATCACAATTGTTGGATGCCAGTATGCAATTCATGATGTTTCTGGCCTGTTTTAGGCGTTTCAAGTGGTTTGCTGCATGAAAATCACTTTTACAACAGAATCGGTTGAAATACATAGAATCACAGTTGTTTGATGCCAGTATACAATTCATGATGTTTCTGGCCTGTTTTAACCCTCTATGGCATACTGTTGCCCTCGGGCAACAAACCAATCTTTTGGCTCTTACACTGGCCCTTTAATGTTTTTATTTTATTTATTTATTTATAAAATTACTAGACATGTTTCTGTCCAATTAAATCAAGTTCTGAAGTGGGTGGGGGCAATTGTCTGGGGGTGGAGCAGTCCTTTCAGGAAGCAGAGTCACAAGTGACACAGTGCCAGAAAAAGGTAGGATAAATATAACTTTTCTACATGTTTAAATTAAAAAAACTTGATAAAATAAATATGTGACTGTGCATGAATATGTTAAGAAGCATATTTGATTGTTAATATATGTTTTTTGTTTACATTTATATACAAAAACTGCACGTTTAGGTTTGTTGCCTCAAGGCAACATCATGCAGTTGTAGCACTTTTGTTTGGGCAGTGTAATGCTGCTGGTTGGGGATGTGCTTGAATGGATAATCAACACCACACTCAATGTTTTTTGCTGTTCTATCTTCCATTCTGATTCATCTACTATTGCTTGTAGGAAATGGATGCAATAACGTTTTACGGGTCCAAGAATGAAGGAGTTAGGGACATTCCAATCGATAGTCCTGGTCTCAGGTCTCTGTCCTGAAGTCCTCTCACATTAGTCCAGGTCTCAGGTCTCTGTCCTGAAGTCCTCTCACATTAGTCCTGGTCTCAGGTCTCTGTCCTGAAGTCCTCTCACATTAGTCCTGGTCTCAGGTCTCTGTCCTGAAGTCCTCTCACATTAGTCCTGGTCTCAGGTCTCTGTCCTGAAGTCCTCTCACATTAGTCCTAGTCTCAGGTCTCTGTCCTGAAGTCCTCCCACATTAGTCCTGGTCTCAGGTCTCTGTCCTGAAGTCCTCTCACATTAGTCCTGGTCTCAGGTCTCTGTCCTGAAGTCCTCTCACATTAGTCCTGGTCTCAGGTCTCTGTCCTGAAGTCCTCTCACATTAGTCCTGGTCTCAGGTCTCTGTCCTGAAGTCCTCTCACATTAGTCCTAGTCTCAGGTCTCTGTCCTGAAGTCCTCTCACATTAGTCCTGGTCTCAGGTCTCTGTCCTGAAGTCCTCTCACATTAGTCCTGGTCTCAGGTCTCTGTCCTGAAGTCCTCCCACATTAGTCCTGGTCTCAGGTCTCTGTCCTGAAGTCCTCTCACATTAGTCCAGGTCTCAGGTCTCTGTCCTGAAGTCCTCTCACATTAGTCCTGGTCTCAGGTCTCTGTCCTGAAGTCCTCTCACATTAGTCCAGGTCTCAGGTCTCTGTCCCTGAAGTCCTCTCACATTAGTCCTGGTCTCAGGTCTCTGTCCTGAAGTCCTCTCACATTAGTCCTGGTCTCAGGTCTCTGTCCTGAAGTCCTCTCACATTAGTCCTGGTCTCAGGTCTCTGTCCTGAAGTCCTCTCACATTAGTCCAGGTCTCAGGTCTCTGTCCTGAAGTCCTCTCACATTAGTCCTGGTCTCAGGTCTCTGTCCTGAAGTCCTCTCACATTAGTCCTGGTCTCAGGTCTCTGTCCTGAAGTCCTCTCACATTAGTCCTGGTCTCAGGTCTCTGTCCTGAAGTCCTCTCACATTAGTCCTGGTCTCAGCAACTAGCAACTGCTTCTTGCTGTTCCATACACAATAGGCTACCGAGACCCGCAGCTGTGTGACATACTAGAGGCTCAGAACTGTTTTTGCTTTTGTTTTTGCAATCTGGAGTGCTCTGTACCCGTTTAAAAAAGTTGAGCTTGAAAAATAAAAGAATAAAAGCTTCTCTTATGTATTTGTTTTATTATTTTCCTAATTCAATGTAATATTGAAAACCTTGGTGTTTTAGTACCCTCGTCGCACAATGTTGCCCTTAAGCAACAAACCATTATCTGATTGGGGGGGTGGGGGGGGGTCAAATGTAAAGATCAATATGTTATTAGGGACCCACGAGCTCTTAAAAAGTGTGTTGAAATATTTTTTTCCCCCTAAAATAAAAAGTCATGCCATAGAGGGTTAAGAATTGTAACCGTTTAACTTTAAATTGACTGCCAGCCCATTTCAAAACAGGTACTCCCATATTGCCAGCCGTTTCTGGTGGTTTTTACTGATTTTTCAAGACCCACAGAATATTGTGTACTTTGACTATCTGAAATCTAAAACTAGATTCTGAAAGAATGGGCTGTCTACTCTCACCAGCAAAAAGAATTTTGTTTCTATCTTGTTTAGTTCTTCTGTAATCCCCAGTTGAGTAGAGGGAAGTTTTATTGAAATCACCAGAAAGCTGAGAAAAAAGGGCCACAAACAGTGCATCTAGCTGTGTTCAAACCATTCATAGCGCAATGCTGCCATCTGCTGGCTCCATAAAGTATTGCCTCAAGCCAATCTCCACATATTAGATTCAATGGACAGCTGGGAACGTAAAAATAGCGGGAAACGCAATTGACGTGTTAACACGTCATTGGCAGACAACGTTACTATTTAGTTTGACGTGTTAACACGTCAATGGCAGTCAATGAGTTAACTTTCTAGGGTTTTAACCATTTTTAACATAAATCTGATTGAGAAAAAACTATTTTATATTTTTAGCTTTAAATTAAACACTTTTTTGCATTTTAACTGCTTTGGCTCTCACAACTACATTTTAAATAATCGTCTCGTCACACAAACAGTTTTAAAGATGGACTCCTGCCCTTCACCTTAAAACTGGGGGAATTCTCCGTTCTCCATCCACCCATTTTCTTCCCCTTAATCCATTTCTGGATCAGGGAGGTGGCAGTCCACAGAGCACCAGCCCCTCACTGATCCTCCTGCAGGAGCTGAGATCTTTCAGTGGGGGCTTCAGGCAAAGTGGGGTTAAGTGTCTTGCCGAAGGACACAACGACAGCAGACATCAGTGGGAGACGTGAAGGAGGTCTTATGGTGGGCTCGAAACCCACAACCTTCAGGCCCAAAGACCAATGCTCTACCAACCGAGCCACTGTCGTCCTATTTCCTCCATATTTTGATGAATTAAGCTCAAACGTCACGTGTTTCACCTGAACAGGATCTCAGCTCGGAGGTAGTTCCCGATGCCGTTGAAGTATTTCTGATTGAGCAGGACTTCACAGATCGGTCGATCGAAGGCTCGGTCCGACAGCCGCGACAAGACGTTCTCTCTGCAAAATAAAACTTTAGTCTTTAACTTTTGCTGATTTTAGACTAGCTTCTTTATTATGCTAAAGCTAGAGAGTTTGTGTCCAACAAAACCAATGATTATTACACAAAAATAAATCAAAATTCAATTCGATTTATGTGATTCTGACCTGAAACTTTTATACTCAAACATCACACACGGCCCTCGGTCCGGTTGCCAGGTCCCGTGCGGGTGCCAGGTCCCAAACCGCCGGGTGTCCACAAAACTCAGCACTCTACGCGGCTTTTCTTTGGTGTAGAAGCTTAAATGAGCGTGTTTTGGCATCTCGTCCTCTGCCGTCATCTTAAACAGCCCAGACATCCCGAAGCGAAACACAATATCCATGGGTTTGTCCCCCTGTGATGTCACCGCTTTCCCGTCCCTGCCCACGGGCGTTAGACTGAGCTTGACCTCCTTCCCTCTGGAGGCGGCGGTGATGTGGAAGGCCTTGGCGCTGAAGGGAACCTCGGGGCTCTTGCTAACCTCGGACTTACGCACGGCTCCGGAGAAGAGCACGCCCTCACAGACTCTGTTCACATAAACGCTGGCCAGGTGGAGCTCAGGGCCCTCGGGCATCTCGGCCAAACTGCTGGGATCGCACTAGAGAAGAAGAAAGTTGAAGATTTAAATAAACATCTAAAAGAACAGTACAATATTCGTACATTCTGGACTATAAGGTGCATTTGTGTATAAGCCGCACCACCTACATTTCTAAATAAAATCATTCTTGTCCACATACAGTACAGACCAAAAGTTTGGACACCCTCTCTCCTTCACTGAGTTCTTTTCATGACTATTGCTGTAGACCCGCACCAGGCTGTGAAAGGGCTGTTTGACCAATAAGGAGAGAGATGGTGCTGGGACACATGACCTCCACAGTCACCGGACCTGAACCCAGTCCAGATGGTTTTGGACCTGAACCCAGTCCAGATGGTTTTGGACCTGAACCCAGTCCAGATGGTTTTGGGGCTGGACCACAGAGTGAAGGGGCCAACAAGTGCTAAGCATCATGGGAACTCCTTCAAGACTGTTGAAAACCATTTCAGGTCCTGTTGAAGCTCATCCAGAGAATGCCAAGAGTGAAGCAGTATCAGAGCAAAAGGAGCTACTTTGAAGAACCAGAAAATAACACATATTTTCACTTGGTTCATAATTGTTTAGTTTTTTTGACTGAGAAGGTGTGTCCAAACTTTTGGTCTGTACTGTATAGGCCGCAGTTGAAGATAAGGCGCAGGTTTTCATGTTTAATGTATCAGAGAGAAGTTTTAACTGTAAACGACATGATATGACTCATTCACCTTCATCCAGTTTGACGATAAACCACTAAAACTTGGAGTCAAAATAACAAGTTAAAAAATAAGTGGCTTAAAGTCCAGAAATGACAGTAATGAATTTATGTAAAGATACAAACACATGTTTTAAAAGCATTTTTTAGAAACAGTAGTGAAAAAAAACACCCTTAAAGTTATATAGAAGAACATAGGAAGAACCGCCCTCTCCACTCCAAGAAAACTGACAGAAGACATGAAGAAACAGGTCTCCCATCTCTCTCTGACCTGCTGCCAACAGATTATATGTGCGGTATTTGAATACAGTTAGGTAATGACTTACTCTTATACCTATTTGATGTTAATTCAGATTGCTTTACTATAAGATTTCTAGATCATAACCTTCTGGTCTTGTTTGTTGAGCACGTATCACCAGAATGATTGACAATTAGGAGGACCAATGGGCTTGATGATCCACCCGGAAGTAGAGAATCCTCCTACAGTATATACCTTTAAGACGACCCAATGTACCTCGATGTAAAAGACGTGTTCTTATTTCCACTCAAATCAAAATGTTCTGGGATGAATCAGGACCTGTTCAAACCTCAAGAATTAAAATGTACATATCTATATTTAAATGTATAATCAATCTCATGTTATGTGAAATATATTAAATAAACAATACTAGAACATTGTGCATTCAATTCAAATCCATATTTATATATATTTTTTTTAAAGTATGAGCAGACTTTAGGGTTCCATCTTTCCCTGTGCAGAGATTGATCCCACTTATAATGAGAGAAGAGAAGTCATCAGAGGGCAAAACTACAGAGACCTCAGCTCACACTCACGGGCCCCAGCTGTTGTTTTCTGCTCCAAAAGATTCTCAATCATAATCCCATTGAAAGTTTCCAAAACAGGTCTGAGCGATAAGAGGTTGTTTACATTGTAGCAGAACGTCTATCTCTGATGCAGACTTTGGAGATGCTAAAAACATGCTACAATGCTATGCTAACATGCTACAGACCCCTCGGTTTGTGTTTTGAAATGTGCATGAGAAATACAGAGAAAACAATGCCGTATACTTACATCAAAGAGAAACAGCGCTTTAATAACCAAACCCACGCTGGTTTGTTACCAAAGAGGTTAACGCGATCTCCGAAGTCTCGCGAGATGTTAGCGGTTATGTCATATTATTATTATTAGTTTTCAATTATCATATTTGAACATATCACGTCAAGAAAACTATAATTACAGATTAAATATGCAAACAGGACATAAAAGCATGTGAAAGCCAGATCATGTTAGACCTCTAAAGCTAAGCAGGGCAGGTGGTGGTTAGTGCTGTGATGGGCGGATGGAATGTGGGAAACTATGGTTGTGTCCTTAGGCAAGACACTTCACCCCCATAACATTGAGTCTGGTGTGTGTGTGAATGGTTGGTGGTGGTGGGAGGGGTTGATGGTTCAGACTGGTTGGCTCGTTTCTGTCAGTGTGCCCCAGGGCAGCTGTGGCACACTCCCACCGTGTATGGATCCATAAGAGAGAATGAATGATCACATGTGAAGCGGAGGGTCCAAAAAAAGCACTGTTTAAAAAAATATTATTTCAAAGCAAAAAACTTTTAAAAAAATCAAAGACTTTTATTGCATGTAATAAATTCATTTATATAAATCAGCTTAAAAGGGTTTGTGCAAATACAGTGTTACATGTGTCAATGAAAACAGAATTATTTACATTTAACATATAATACATTTCATTGAAGAGAATTCATCAGACTCTGGGCTTGTTTCAGTTCTGTAAACACACAAACAGAACACATTTTAAACACTAAGAAACCTAACTTTAAAACCATAAAACAATGTACTAAGATCCATTGTTCATTTGGTTGGGACACTGCACGTTAATGAACACACTTCTTACGTCTCGCAAACTCTTTCACCCTGAACTATTGAACATGTTTTTAGTGGCTTCAGAAGCATCAGAGAGAGACCAGAGAGAGACCAGAGAGAGACCAGAGAGAGACCAGAGAGAGACCAGAGAGAGACCAGAGAGAGACCAGAGAGAGACCAGAGAGACAGACCAGAGAGACAGACCAGAGAGAGACCAGAGAGAGACCAGAGAGAGACCAGAGAGAGACTAGAGAGAGACCAGAGATAGAGACCAGAGAGAGACCAGAGAGAGACCAGAGAGAGAGACCAGAGAGAGAGACCAGAGAGAGAGACCAGAGAGACCAGAGAGAGACCAGAGAGAGACCAGAGAGAGACCAGAGAGAGAGAGACCAGAGAGAGAGAGACCAGAGAGAGCGAGACCAGAGAGAGCGAGACCAGAGAGCGAGACCAGAGAGCGAGACCAGAGAGCGAGACCAGAGAGCGAGACCAGAGAGCGACCAGAGAGAGACTAGAGAGAGACCAGAGAGAGACCAGAGAGAGCGAGACCAGAGAGAGACCAGAGAGAGAGACCAGAGAGAGACTAGAGAGCAAGACCAGAGAGAGACCAGAGAGAGAGACCAGAGAGAGAGACCAGAGAGCGAGACCAGAGAGAGAGAGAGAGAGAGACCAGAGAGAGACTAGAGAGCAAGACCAGAGAGAGACCAGAGAGAGAGACCAGAGAGAGACCAGAGAGAGCGAGACCAGAGAGAGACTAGAGAGCGAGACCAGAGAGAGCGAGAGACCAGAGAGAGACTAGAGAGCAAGACCAGAGAGAGAGAGAAACCAGAGAGAGAGAGAGAGAGAGAGAGAGAGAGAACCCAGAGAGGTACACCAGAGAGCGAGACCAGAGAGAGAGCTCAGAGACCAGCGAGACAGACCAGAGACTAGAGAGAGACCAGAGAGAGACTAGAGAGAGACTAGAGAGAGAGGGACCAGAGAGAGACCAGAGAGAGACTAGAGAGAGACTAGAGAGAGCGAGACCAGAGAGAAACCAGAGAGAGAGAGACCAGAGAGACAGACCAGAGACTAGATAGAGACTCAAGAGAGACCAGAGAGATTTCACAGTGACAATTATCTCATGCACTTTTGAGCTTGTTTTCTTTATGTACATGTCTGGTTCACACTGGGGACTTTTGCGCATGTATTCCAATGTGGTTTTACTGCAGATAAACTCAAACTGAATGTGGACAGTTGGAGTCTGACCCCAGCTTCATAATAGCTCATAACCCACTGACCGCAGAGCAGAACTCTGAACTTGTCCGCAGACACCGACACCACAGTGGTCTCCGAGGCTCCGGACTCTGCTCCTTTCACCTGCACTTTCAGCTGAACGCTCGGCTCGTTCACGTCTCGCAGTTCACTGGAGCTCAGGGTGTAGTCCACTCTCCACGACACGGCCTCCAGACGGCCCACTGCGGAGACGGACCAGGAAGTGACCCAAAAGGTGATCGGAGACGTCACACCATCACTGTCTCCTCTGACCAAGGCAGAAGTCTAACCATGTGGCGATTAAGCAGTACTTTAAAGAATCTTCTAAGCCTTAAAGTCGCAATATGTAAGATTTGCATATCAAGTAATCATTAAAGGGCCCTAAACTGTCATCGTTAAAGGGCCCTAATCTGACATCATTAAAGGGCTCTAATCTGTCATCGTTAAAGGGCCCTAATCTGTCATCGTTAAAGGGCCCTAATCTGTCATCGTTAAAGGGCCCTAATCTGTCATCATTAAAGGGCCCTAATCTGTCATCGTTAAAGGGCCCTAATCTGTCATCATTAAAGGGCCCTAATCTGTCATCATTAAAGGGCCCTAATCTGTCATCGTTAAAGGGCCCTAATCTGTCATCATTAAAGGGCTCTAATCTGTCATAATATTAAGTCATAATAATAAACTGCTCTTTTCCAATACTTCTTTAACTGATAACAGTAGTTCAGAGATATTTGAATTTCTAAATTACTTTTCCAGCCTCTAAATCTTGTTATTGTTTTCATTTCGATGTCCCGCCCTCCACCGTTTCACCAATCAGAAAGTCTGTGATCCGGGCGCCAGAACTCACCGCGTGGAGCTAATCTCACTGGTAAAGTACCATGTGGCACAGAACTAAAAAAGGTCTCGTTATGATTCTCAAATCATTAACGACAATTGGTAAAACTCAGCCGTTGCATTAAATAGCCCGGGCTGCGTCCTGAGTCTTCTTCTACAACGCCTGTTCCTCTTCTGACTTTGGGCGCGTGAACGCATCCCATTGGTTCCTTTCTTCACTCCAAAATTATTTATTATTTATTGTTTGAGACTACAAGCATCTGGTCATGTCCATTCCTATTTGAAAACACATGATAACTTGACTACTTTTGGGGTATTCTTGGGTGTACGCTTGAACAGAGAGAAAGACCAGAGTTTGTTCATGTTCCAACTGTGGTCTCATATAAAATCACTGGAATGAGGCGGGCGAGGTGGATCAAGGCTTTCCCAGATAAGCGCCCCCTGCAGGCCACCCCAATGAAACGCAGACATTTCTTCTGTTTTTCTTTCCAAAAATGCCCGAAATCAAGATTCTTTTGAGAATCAGGAGGAGAACCTTTTGACACCAAAACAGACTTTACATGGTTTTCAATGGGAGCAAAACTTGTTGTCCCACCTCTGCTCATGCGCCCCCTACAGGCAAGTTTAATGAAACCCAAATATAGTGACATTTCCCCACGGTATTTAAAAAATGTCTTCTGGATAAATACTTGACTGCATGACTGACTTCTGTTTAAAATACTTACATCTCAGACTCATCTCCTTTAATTTCTCCCGGAGCGCTGAGTGTTTGTCTTCGTATGATTTACACAGAGCTGTCGTGTGCTCTAAAAAACAAGGGTGAAAAGTCAATTAGACAGATTCAAAAATATTAGTACAACGTCATAAGAAACATTTTGATTTAGGAAATTATCTAAATAACAATAATAAACTGCTCCTTATCCAGGTTGTTGTTCGAGATTTTGTTTTGATAGTTTTATTTATTTTATTTAGCGTGTTATATGACTCTGCCTCCTGCTGGTCCCAGAGTCAGACTAAACATGGGGAGGCAGCATTTCAGATTCATGCAGCTAAAATCTGGAACAGTCTTCCTGAAAACGTGAGACAGGCTTCTACTCTCTCTTTTGAATGTCCTGTCATTATTCATTATTTATCTTAATGCCTTGTGCGATTGTTTCTATTTCGTTTTGTTCAGCGCTTTGAGTTCCCGTGCGTATGAACTGTGCTTTACAAATAAATGATCTTAAAAGCTCTGGGTGAAACGGCTGCATCTGCACAGTTTGGGTAAAAGTCAGACGTCTGCTTCTTTTTGCCGCCGACGTTAAATCCATACAGCATTGATCCGTATAAAATGTTGCTTCTCATCACCTTGAGTGTATGAACTGTGCTGCACAAATAAACTTGCCTCGCCATTGGACTAAAAGTATGGCTTTTTGAAACTTACCATAGCTACAAAGACCCAAGGTTAAACTATAAACTCGTTGGAAATGTGTGATGTAACATGAACACAACTTAATCACATACATTACATTTTCGCAAGAGCTGCTCAGAGGTGGACTTCTTTCAATACATTTTCCGTTTACATGGGAAGTTACGCTGGAGAAGTTTGGGAATATTCCATAGTAATGTAATACAATTGTATCATATCCAGCATAAATATAAACAGAAGAAAACATGCATCAAAAGATTTATTTAGTTCAAGTTATTTTAATGAACAAGCATGGAGTTTTTCATAGAGTAGGGGGCGTGGCCTCGGCAGCATGTGATTGAGGAATGACATCCATCCATTTTCTAGTAAGTAAGTGAAGTCATTTATAATCCATTTCTGGGTCGGGGGGTGGCAGTCAGAGATGCCTAACCCCCCCCCAAGTCACATAGCACCAGCCCCCCAATGACATCTGTTTATTCTATTCAAGATTGAGCTAAAATATGCTTTTTAATTTTGAAATGTTACAGTTTATTCCCAATTTCTCCAATATAATTCCCACTAATTTAGAGTTAGGGTTAGTTTCCATCTTTGAAAATTAACAGAATTCTTGCAACCCCAAAATCTCACCTTTAGGAAGACCGAGCTGCTGCAACTCACTGGACAGAGACTCGCAGTCCACGTCGTGCTTGGCTGCATTGGAGAGGATGAAGCCCAGAACTGCCACGCTGGCTTTGATGTCTCCACTTTCTGAAAGGAACACAAACATCAAGCACAGTGCGACAGCTATAGACAGTGTTCATAAAGTGCATTAGATAAGGCGAATTTACCAAACTTTGCATCAGACGTGAGTTTTGTCACCTTGTCATACTGTGGTGAAATAGGCACAAAGAAGATATGAGGACAATGACTAGTTATTCAAATATAAAATAATAAATAAGTACCTACATCAATGCCTTCACCAAGCAAATCCTTCAAGACTTGTGCACACAGTAGTTTCATCTTGACACTGGACTGTAGATTGTGTGAAATAGCAGAAACATTATCACAGTTAGGCAATAAGTATAAGGTCATTTTGGACGTTTTTACTCACCAATTTTGCTAATGTGCTAATTTCTGCAAGAACCCAATCCGGGCAATCCAAATCCCCACAGAATCTGAACCGCTACAATCCACAAGAGAACAGAGAGCAGTTTAGCATCACTGACTGCAAATAAATGGTTAGCATGTTAGCTTAGCTTGTTAGCATGCTTGTTTTACGCACTGACAACTAATGTAAATTGGCGAGCTAACTCCCTACGCGTAGCTTGCATATATAAACACACATATAGAAACCAATACATAGTTATATAGCATGTATTTCAATATATTGAGTTGTTTACCATGGTACTGGAGAAGGCTGGTCAGCTGAGGAGAAGACAGGAAGAGAACGCCGCTTGAACTCGAACCTGATTGGTTAAACTGGTCACTCGTACTTATCCATAAAACTACATAAATATATTTTAATACACACACTATTATTCGTGCTGTCATATTTGCCACATAAAATATTACTAAGTGTGTTTTTATTGATTATCGTATTTATTTTATATTTTATTTATACACACGAACAGAACCAAACATAATTAGTTTAAACATTTCAAATAAACAGGAATATTTGCATTAACAATTCATTGATAAACGCTGCTCACAAATTGGCTTTTTAGCATTTTCGTTTACGTAACCGTTATTATTATAGATCCACGGCACGTAACGGTTCTATCCACCCTGAGCAGCAGGTAAAACGGCTGCATCCGAATTCACTTTAAAAATACCTCCTGTGTGGTTTAAAATTGACCCTTTGGGATATGGTGCAGCAAAATGTTTGGTCGAGTGAAATTAAACACATTTCAGACATGTTTTTGAATGTCAAGACAAATGTTATCTCTCAAAAATGAATACAAATGTGTAAGCGTTATAGGAGAGAGCTTGGTATTTTTGATGAATTGGGATGTAGCGCTGTTTGGATCTATTGGATTAGCAACAGAGGACTCTAGTGAGAAGCGAGAACTGTTTTACTAAATACAGTGCTGAACTCTGGTGTGGGAGGCATGAGTTATTCTCTCTGCAGCTACAGCTCTCTCTCTCCCCCTCTCTCTCTCCCCCTCTCTCTCTCTCCCTCTCTCTCTCTCCCTCTCTCTCTCTCCCTCTCTCCCCCTCTCTCTCTCTCCCTTTCTCTTTCTCCCTCTCTCTCCCTCTCTCCCCCTCTGTCTCTTTCTCCCTCTCTCCCCCTCTCTTTCTCCCCCTCTCTCTTTCTCCCTCTCTCTCCCCTCTCCTCTCTCTCCCCTCTCCTCTCTCTCCTCCCTCTCTCCCCTCTCCTCTCTCTCCCCTCTCCTCTCTCCCCTCACCTCTCTCCCGCTCTCCCCTCACCTCTCTCCCTCTCTCCCCTCTCCCCTCTCTCTCCCCTCTCCTCTCTCCCCTCACCTCTCTCCCCTCACCTTTCTCCCTCTCTCCCCTCTCCTCTCTCTCCTCCCTCTCTCCCCTCTCCTCTCTCTCCCCTCTCCTCTCTCCCCTCACCTCTCTCCCTCTCTCCTCTCTCTCTCTCTCTCTCTCCCTCCCTCCTCTCTCGCCTCTCTTTCTCTCTCTCTCTCCCTCCCTCCTCTCTCGCCTCTCTTTCTCTCTCTCACTCTCTCTCCCTCTCTCCCCTCTCTCCCCTCTCTCCCCTCTCTCCTCTCTCTCTCTCTCTCTGCCTCTCTCTCTCTCCCTCTCTCTCCCTCTCTCCCTCTCTCTCTCCCCCTCTCTCTCTCTCCCTCTCTCTCCCTCTCTCGCCCGCGGACTGGAGAGGTCACGCGTAAATGATTTCAAGAGACGCTCACTTATTCTTAGTCCAGGACAGAACTGGATTAAACAGTCCGGACTTGCTTTTAATCTGAATGCTCTGTTGTGTTGCCAGGATTGATGTCGCCTTTCTCATTCCCCACGGGAGGATGTAGTTTGGGTGGAGGGTGACTATCACACTGCACAGGACTGAGCACAGACCCTGACAATGGAGCGACTGCTACTTGCCTACATTTTTCTAGCTGGAGATTTTAATTTAGTTTCCAGCCTTTTGCTACAAGAAGATGCTCCTACACTCGGATCAAAGAACGCACCGCGGCTTGTAACAAAAAGTAAGTATAATTGCTACACTCAATTCTGAATATCGAATTTCAAAGAGAAAAATGGTCCAGTTAGGTTATATTCTATTGCAATCATTGATAATTCCAATATGAATAATTGAATGAATGACAGATGCAGGTGCTAGTGATTCTTCCCTTTTCTTTCCTCATCCTAGACACAGTGAGGAGTATATTTGACAATCAGGAGCTACAAAACTACACGGTGTTTTACTACAGACAAGAAATGGAAGAAATGTACATTGGGGGAATTGATGCTGTATTACGGATAAATACAACAAACTATCAAGTCATAGAGGTAAGCTTTATGAATATATGTATTTGTATGTGTAGTTAGAGTATATGTGCAGAGGAGGGAGAGAGGAAAGGACTGTATATTTTGGTTTAGGATGTTGAGTTTGAAGCTATAACAAGCCTGTTTTAGGGTCTCTCTCAGATCGTTCTCTCTAGTCTCTCTCTGGTCTCTGTCAGATCTCTCTCAGATCTCTCTCCCTTGTTTCTCTCTATTCTCTCTCTGGTCTCTCTATTCTCTTTCTCAGGTCTCTCTCAGGCCTCTGTCTGGTCTCTCTTTGGTCTCTCTCTGGCCTCTCTCAGGTCTCTCTTGTCTCTCTCAGGTCCCTCTCTTGTCTCTCTCTGGTCCCTCTCTGGTCTCTCTCTGGTCTCTCTCTGGTCTCTCTCTTGTCTCTCTCTGGTCTCTCTCTGGTCTCTCTCCGGTCTCTCTCTGCTCTCTCTCTGGTCTCTCTCTGGTCTCTCTCTGGTCTCTCTCTGGTCTCTCTCTGGTCTCTCTCTGGTCTCTCTCTGGTCTCTCTCAGGTCCCTCTCTTGTCTCTCTCTGGTCCCTCTCTGGTCTCTCTCTGGTCTCTCTCAGGTCCCTCTCTTGTCTCTCTCTGGTCCCTCTCTGGTGTATATTTTGGTTCAGGATGTTGAGGTTATAGCTATAGGGAACCTGTTGTGAGAGAGGACATGGCCAAGCAGCTGGGTACACACTGACCCTCCACTAAAGTGCTGTGTAAAGTGCTGACAGGTCCTTCACAAACAGCTGATGTGTGGGTTTAATTACAAAGACAGTCTCGAAGAGGAACACGGAAAAAAGGCAATCGCAGTGATACCCATGAGGTATCTCTGGTCTCTCTCTGGTCCCTCTCTGGTCTCTCTCTGGTCCCTCTCTGGTCTCTCTCTGGTCTCTCTCTGGTCTCTCTCTTGTCTCTCTCTGGGCTCTCTCTGGTCTCTCTCTGGTCTCTCTCTGGTCTCTCTCTGGTCTGTCTCTGCTCTCTCTCTTGTCTCTCTCTAGTCTCTCTCTCTGGTCTCTCTCTGGTCTCTCTCTGGTCTCTCTCTTGTCTCTCTCTGGTCTCTCTCTGGTCTCTCTCCGGTCTCTCTCTGCTCTCTCTCTGGTCTCTCTCTGGTCTCTCTCTGGTCCCTCTCTGGTCTCTCTCTGGTCTCTCTCTTGTCTCTCTCTTGTCTCTCTATGGTCTCTCTCTGGTCTCTCTCTGGTCTCTCTCTCTGGTCTCTCTCTGGTCTCTCTCTCTGGTCTCTCTCTCTGGTCTCTCTCTGGTCTGTCTCTGGTCTGTCTCTGGTCTCTCTCTGCTCTCTCTCTGGTCTCTCTCTGGTCTCTCTCTAGTCTCTCTCTGGTCTCTCTCTGGTCTCTCTGGTCTCTCTCTGGTCTCTCTCTAGTCTCTCTCTGGTCTCTCTCTGGTCTCTCTCTGATCTCTCTCTGGTCTCTCTCTAGTCTCTCTCTGGTCTCTCTCTATTTCTCTCTCTAGTCTCTCTCTGGTCTCTCTCTGGTCTCTCTCTAGTCTCTCTCTAGTCTCTCTCTGGTCTCTCTCTAGTCTCTCTCTGGTCTCTCTCTGGTCTCTCTCTAGTCTCTCTCTGGTCTCTCTCTAGTCTCTCTCTAGTCTCTCTCTGGTCTCTCTCTAGTCTCTCTCTGGTCTCTCTCTAGTCTCTCTCTGGTCTCTCTCTGGTCTCTCTCTAGTCTCTCTCTGGTCTCTCTCTGGTCTGTCTCTGCTCTCTGTCTGGTCTCTCTCTGCTCTCTCTCTTGTCTCTCTCTTGTCTCTCTCTGGGCTCTCTCTGGTCTCTCTCTGGTCTCTCTCTGGTCTCTCTCTGGTCTCTCTCTGGTCTCTCTCTTGTCTCTCTCTGGTCTCTCTCTGGTCTCTCTCCGGTCTCTCTCTGCTCTCTCTCTGGCCTCTCTCTGGTCTCTCTCTCTGGCCTCTCTCTGGTCTCTCTCTCTGGTCTCTCTCTGGTCTCTCTCTCTGGTCTCTCTCTCTGGTCTCTCTCTGGTCTGTCTCTGGTCTGTCTCTGGTCTGTCTCTGGTCTCTCTCTGCTCTCTCTCTGGTCTCTCTCTAGTCTCTCTCTGGTCTCTCTCTGGTCTCTCTCTGGTCTCTCTCTGGTCTCTCTCTAGTCTCTCTCTGGTCTCTCTCTAGTCTCTCTATAGACTATGGAGTAAGTGTAATAGATCTGTATATTATTTCTCTTCGGTCAAATCCATAATCTCGTGTTGCTATTGAGTTCAATGGAACCTTTTCCTTCCGATTTCCGACCTCGGAGCGCCTTCATTTCTCGCTCTATTACACGTAACTAGTAATATTCTGTTTTACGACACAAATGGGCATCACGGAGAAACCACTCCTAACCTAAAGACATTTATCTATATTTATTGCTAATGAGTTTTTGAGGCCCGTCACTTTGTCTGGAGGGTGCATTATGTGGCTTTGCTTTGGCTCTGCAGGAAAAACCCCAGTATTAGCAGTATTTGTTGTTTTTTTGCATGTTTTTCTTTGCTATTTCTGTATCTCATATTCGTGTTATGACTCATGTCTGTGCAGAAATATGACTTGATAACGGCGGCACCGCTGGAATGTCAGGAGGTGAGTAGACTCTGTAACATGTGATTTAGAACCATGTCAAAGGTGTAGAAGCAGCATTTCATACTGATCAATACTGGATGGATTTAATGTCAGCGGGAGAAGAGGCCCGGACGTCTCACTTTAACCCAACTGTAGATGCAGCCGTTTCATTTACAGATACATTTTAGGCTCAGGCAACTCAAAGTGCCTTTATGGCCTCTCTCTGGTCTCTCTCTGGTCTCTCTCTGGTCTCTCTCTGGCCTCTCTCTGGTCTCTCTCTGGTCTCTCTCTAGTCTCTCTCTGGTCTCTCTCTGGCCTCTCTCTGGTCTCTCTCTTGTCTCTCTCTGGTCTCTCTCTGGCCTCTCTCTGGTCTCTCTCTGGTCTCTCTCTAGTCTCTCTCTGGCCTCTCTCTGGTCTCTCTCTAGTCTCTCTCTAGTCTCTCTCTGGTCTCTCTCTGGTCTCTCTCTGGCCTCTCTCTGGTCTCTCTCTGGTCTCTCTCTAGTCTCTCTCTGGTCTCTCTCTGGCCTCTCTCTGGTCTCTCTCTAGTCTCTCTCTAGTCTCTCTCTGGTCTCTCTCTAGTCTCACTCTGGTCTCTCTCTGGTCTCTCTCTGGTCTCTCTCTGGTCTCTCTCTAGTCTCTCTCTAGTCTCTCTCTGGTCTCTCTCTGGTCTCTCTCTGGTCTCTCTCTGGTCTCTCTCTGGTCTCTCTCTGGCCTCTCTCTGGTCTCTCTCTGGCCTCTCTCTGGTCTCTCTCTGGTCTCTCTCTGGTCTCTCTCTAGTCTCTCTCTAGTCTCTCTCTGGCCTCTCTCTAGTCTCTCTCTGGTCTCTCTCTAGTCTCTCTCTGGTCTCTCTCTGGTCTCTCTCTGGTCTCTCTCTAGTCTCTCTCTGGTCTCTCTCTGGTCTCTCTCTGGCCTCTCTCTGGTCTCTCTCTGGTCTCTCTCTGGTCTCTCTGGCATCTCTCTGGTCTCTCTCTAGTCTCTCTCTGGTCTCTCTGGCATCTCTCTGGTCTCTCTCTGGTCTCTCTCTGGTCTCTCTCTGGTCTCTCTCTGGTCTCTCTCTGGTCTCTCTCTGGTCTCTCTCTGGCGTCTCTCTGGTCTCTCTCTGGTCTCTCTCTGCTCTCTCTGTGGTCTCTGGTCTCTCTCTGCTCTCTCTCTCTCTCTCTGGTCTCTCTCTGGTCTCTCTCTGGTCTCTCTCTGGTCTCTCTCTGGTCTCTCTCTGGTCTCTCTCTCTAGTCTCTCTCTGGTCTCTCTCTGGTCTCTCTCTGGTCTCTCTCTAGTCTCTCTCTGGTCTCTCTCTCTAGTCTCTCTCTGGTCTCTCTCTGGTCTCTCTCTGGTCTCTCTCTAGTCTCTCTCTGGTCTCTCTCTAGTCTCTCTCTGGTCTCTCTCTGCTCTCTCTGTGGTCTCTGGTCTCTCTCTAGTCTCGCACTGAGAAGAGGCCCGGACGTCTCACTTTTACCCAACTGTAGATGCAGCCGTTTCATCCACAGATACATTTTAGGCTCAGGCAACTCAAAGTGCCAACCAAAACAAGATAGACAGGCTGTTTCTATCTCTCAGTCGTATGAACAGTGGCTGGGTTGATAGCAAATTAAGGTCCTGGGTTCAAATCCCGGTCGTAACGGGGCCGTTCTGAGTTCTCCCCGTGTTTGCGTAGGTTTCCTCCAGGTGCTCCGGTTCCCCCTTTCACTATAAACACGTGCAATGGGCAAAGATCATCCCGCTCGGAGGCCAAGCCGAGCATCAATCTCTGCAAATCTTGTTTTAAAGACCGTCACAATGTTCTGACAGTGGCTACTCATAAAGTTATCATTTGGGGAGCTACTTTGAAGAGGTTGGCTAGCTACTGGTCTCTTCCTATATATAGGCTGTAGACACATGTGCAAAACTATGTTACTGTATACTTTATGTTTATGTTTTATACTTCTATAGGATCCATGTCAGAACGTGATCACGGTGATCGGAGAGCTTAACGACGAGATGTTTGTGTGTGGGACAAAGGCTCGCAGACCTCAATGCTGGACCCTGGTAATGCTAATGCTAACACAGACTGTATACAGAGGCTAATGCTAACACAGACTGTATACAGATGGACAATGCTAACACAGACTGTATACAGATGGACAATGCTAACACAGACTGTATACAGAGGCTAATGCTAACACACTATCTTTGTCTTGTTCCCTGCAGCAGTCGGGCGTGCAGAACTACTCCTCTGTGGGATATGATGGATCCGGCATTTCTCCAGTGGAATCCTCCCAAAACTCACTCTCTCTCGCCGTGGGTACGTTAGCAGCTTGTTATCATCCCCGACAAGACTGCGAGGCTGAGTGTGACTAAGCAATACATCTACAATTACATAACCGTAACGAGTCATGTGTGAGTGCGTAAATAATAGAGCGGCTATTACTTTCCCAGAGGGCGATCTCTACGCCGCGGCGCCGCTGGACGCTGACGGGAGCTCTCTGCAGTTCAGGAGGAAAGCTGGCACAAGGACTCAAGTGTGGATGCACAACAGCTGGGTCTCAGGTACAAGTGTGGTCTCTGATAAGGCAGACATTTAGGGAGAGGCTGCAGGAGTTAGACGTTAGAGGTTCTGGTGTAATGCAGTGTTCCCCAAACTTTTTGACACGTGCCATACCTTTTCAGTGAATCTCAAGAGTTGTAATGTATGTAAGAGTCATCATTAAAGGGCCCCAATGTGTCATCATTAAAGGGCCCTAGTCTGTCATCATTAAAGGGCCCTAGTCTGTCGTCATTAAAGGGCCCTAATCTGTCGTCATTAAAGGGCCCTAATCTGTCATCATTAAGGGGTCCTAATCTGTCGTCATTAAAGGGCCCTAGTCTGTCATCATTAAAGGGCCCTAATCTGTCATCATTAAAGGGCCCTAGTCTGTCATCATTAAAGGGCCCTAGTCTGTCGTCATTAAAGGGCCCTAATCTGTCATCATTAAAGGGCCCTAGTCTGTCGTCATTAAAGAGCCCTAATCTGTCGTCATTAAAGGGCCCTAATCTGTCATCATTAAGGGGTCCTAATCTGTCGTCATTAAAGGGCCCTAGTCTGTCGTCATTAAAGGGCCCTAGTCTGTCATCATTAAAGGGCCCTAATCTGTCATCATTAAAGGGCCCTAATCTGTCATCATTAAAGGGCCCTAATCTGTCATCATTAAAGGGCCCTAATCTGTCATCATTAAAGGGCCCTAATCTGTCGTCATTAAAGGGCCCCAATCTGTCATCATTAAAGGGCCCTAATCTGTGATCATTAAAGGGCCATAATCTGTCATCATTAAAGGGCCCTAATCTGTCATCATTAAAGGGCCCTAGTCTGTCATCATTAAAGGGCCCTAATCTGTCGTCATTAAAGGGCCCCAATCTGTCATCATTAAAGGGCCCTAATCTGTCATCATTAAAGGGCCCTAATCTGTCATCATTAAAGGGCCCTAGTCTGTCATCATTAAAGGGCCCTAATCTGTCGTCATTAAAGGGCCCCAATCTGTCATCATTAAAGGGCCCTAATCTGTGATCATTAAAGGGCCATAATCTGTCATCATTAAAGGGCCCTAATCTGTCATCATTAAAGGGTCCTAATCTGTCAAAAAGCATCAATAAAACATGCTCTTTTCCAATACTTCTTTAACTGATAACAGTAGTTCAGCCGAGATATGCAAAGTTTTAAATTACTTTTCCAGCCCCTAAATCTTGTTATTGTTTTCATCTCGATGTCCCGCCCTCCACCGTTTCACCAATCAGAAAGTCTGTGATCCGGGCGCCAGAACTCACCGCGTGGAGCTAATCTCACTGGTAAAGTACCATGTGGCGCAGAACTAAAAATGTCTCGTTATGATTCTCAAATCATTAACGACAAAACAAGGAATAAAACCAGGATTTCTATCTTTGTGAAAAAGGTGTTGGTTATAGATTTGTTGTTGACTAAACTCTTGTCTATTCAGCTGTTATGGTCCCAGCTGGATTCGTCTGCATATCTGGCAACCTGAGTCAGGGAGAGAAGGAGAGGCTGCAGTACCACTTTTGGCCACATTTTTACACACTGCTCCTTTAACTATAGAAAGTCCAAAAAAGTGCAAAAAAAAGTCTTTCAGATCTTAATTATTATTATTTTTTTCACATTATTTTTAACAATTAGGTCATTTTGGATCATTTTCAAAGGCACAACAAGCAACATCTCAAGGCACACTAACATCCCACGGCCCACTGGTTGAAAAACACTGGTGTAATGTGCTTGCTATTCGCTGTACAAACCCCCATGGATACAAGTTTTATATTTTAGTTTTCCCCATATATACAGTATATATAAAGAATACATTCTAACTACTCTATCCTTCTTACTTGTATCTTGTTTGAAGTCCATATAATCCTGGTGTCTCTGCTTCCCTATTACAGTGTTTTTCAACCACTGTGCCGCGGCACACTAGTGTGCCGTATGATATTGTCTGGTGTGCTGTGAGAAATTCGTCTACTTTGTCTAAAAATAGCTGCATTCGCTGTTGACGAGCGGTGACTTGTTTTGAACTGTGAGTAACCATGTAATACTTTTTCAAATCAGTAGATGGCAGCAGATAGCTAAGTACTTTGAAACTGAAAAATTGGATGCGACCACTGGCTGTAACAGGTCAGCATTGTGGCGAGAAAGGTAAAATTGGATGCGACCAACAAATGTGGGAGGGAGCGAGACAAGAGCTTTGTGGCGAGTGAGAAGTGAAAGTGATAGAGACGTTTTTGAAAATGAATTATGCCGTTTCTGAACAGGATTAACATCCTCCGCTCTGCCCCGGGGCAGCTGTGGCCGCGTTGTAGTGGTTTAACTATGAAATGTACCATTTTTGTACAACAGCTCTCGCGAACGCACTTCTGAACTGGGTACCGAGCGCAGACCATAGTCGAGTGGACAGAACCACAGACATGCGGACCGGACAGAACCATGGACTCGCGTTCAGGACCTCCCGTGTCCCTCATCCAAAACTCCTGAATTTAAAGCTCGGATACCAAAATTTTTCCCATGCACTAACAATGCATGTTCTTTGTGTGAGTTATTATTTGACTATTTGGGCAGAGAGTAGATTTTCTTAGTTTTTTTCCACACAGTTAGTGCCACTTTATTCCCAATCTCTTGTTAATTGTATCGAGAAATATTAAATAAAGCTTAATGTCAAGGCCTGGACTTAAGCATTTTGTTGAGAATAACTGTATATTGTGAATATAGGCTACAGAGTATACTGTATACATTATAAGATAAGATATACTTTATATATCACACAGAGTATGTACAGTATATATTTTTTTACATTAGTACTGTATACATTTTTACATTTTCTCCTGGAGGTGTGCCGCAAGATTTTTTCAGTGAAAAAAGTGTGCCTTGGCTCAAAAAAGGTTGAAAAACACTGCCCTATTATATCAACTTCTAACACACACCAGAGCACAAAACCTTTTTCAAATATTATGGAGTCACGATAAGTCAGAACTAAACATGGGGAGGCTGCTTTTCAGATTCATGCTGCTAAAATCTGGAACAGTCTTCCTGAAGATGTGAGACAGGCCTCCTCTCTGACAATGTTTAAAACCAGGTTAAAGACAGTTCTGTTTAGCTGTGCTACAACTGAGGGATTTTATATTTGTATCTTTCTTTTTAATGTTCTGTGATTATTTATGATTTTAATGCTTTCTTGTTTTGTTCAGCACTTTGAATTGCCTTGTGTATGAATTGTGCTATACAAATAAACTTGCCTTGCCTTTGCCTTAAGTTAAGATAAAGCTTTATTTGTCCCGCAGTGGGGAAACTTCAGTGTCATTACAGCAGAATAAAAGCAGGAAATAAGACTCAGATTGACCACATCAAACAGGATCTATTTAGATATATAGAAACATAGATAGAGCCATTATATATCTATTCTAAGTATAAATATTGGGTTATACAGTATTATGGTATATTTTACATGTGTTCTCCATGTTGTGACCTAATTATTAGATACATTTTTACTACGGCTGCCAAAAGGAGTAGCTCTCTTTCTCTACTTTTGTATAGAAGTATCTCTCTGATTGAAAAAAGTTGGAGACCCCTGATTTAAGGTATTAGAGACTGCTGAGATAAGATAAGATAAACCTTTATTAGTCTCACAGTGGAGAAATGTCAGTGTCATCGTTGCACATTACAGCAGAGAAAGGAAATAAGAGCACTCAGATTGCACACATCAAAGTCTATTATTTAAGATAATAGACAATAAATTTAAGATAAAATAAAATAAGAAAATCTGGGCTACAATTGCACTTGGTTCGGAGTATTTACAGATGTCTATATTATACATTAGCAGCGGAGAATATGAGCAGAATAAACATCAGAAATAATATCAACAGGTAAAGTGTTAAGAATTATCAGATGGATATGAATAATACAGCAAGATATCAACAGGTAAAGTGACGGTGGAAGGCAGAATTATCAGATATGAAATAATACAGTAGTACTGATAACAGTAAGTATCAGATATGTAGTACTGTAGTAGTACTGATAACAGGTAAAGTGACTAGTGACAAAGTTTGATTGATTGATTTATTTTATTTCAAGCTTATAAACAGGAACCAATTTATAGATTTAAAAGCAATTACATACAATACATGATAGAAATTTACATACATTAATGTATATATACATTTTTATTTTTATTATTTTTATTTATTTTCACTTTTAATTTATTTTCACTCCTGTTAAAGCTCAAAAAGGAGTGGGAAGAAGTCAAACTTATAGGCTCCCACCCCCTATACCTATATTCTTACTTCAAGTTACTAGTGAATTATCAGAAACAAACAAAAACAACTGTATACTTTATCTCCTGTACTTACTTATACTTTATTCTTTGTCCTTTTTTCCCAGAGCCCACTTTCATCGGAGCCTCGTGGGTGAAACGGGAGAAGGATCCTGACAATGAGAAGATCTATGTGTTTTTTCGGGAGAAGAACTCGGACCACAACCCTGAGGCGGATCACTGGATTTCGCGGGTTGCCCGGGTTTGCAAGGTGATGTCACATGATGCTACAGACCAGTGGTAGTTTCTCACACGGTCCTGGGATATGCAACACAACACCCGAGTCAAAAACAAGTCTCTCTTTGTACTGTGAACAGAGGAACGTTTGAGATGGCTTTGCTTTGTTGCTAATATTGCAGGGTTAACAACATACAATGCTAACACAGACTGTATACAGATGCTAATGCTAACACAGACTGTATACAGATGCTAATGCTAACACAGACTGTATACAGATGCTAATGCTAACACAGACTGTATACAGTAAAAGCCACATCCCATCAGAATTCTGAAGCTAAGCTGGGCAGGGCCTGGTTAGTACTGTAATGGGAGACCTGTGAATGATTGACGGTGGTTAGAGAGGCTGATGGCAGACTGTTTTCCTCGCTTCTGTCAATCTGTCCCAAGACAACTGCGGCTATTCACTTTTCTGTCTGAAATAGCTCATCTAAATGTGATTAAGGCCAAACAACAAGCATGTACAACAATAACAATTTTATTACACTGTTCCATTTGTTTATGGCCGTCAGCCGGTCTCTGTCTGCGTCTGAGCGTTTGAATACCACTCCACAGATGTCTTTGTTCTGATCAGACGGATTATGAGTCGCCAAAAAGCATTCATTCACTGTTATCTGCTGGTTCCGTCTGTTTGTCTAGGTGGACGAAGGAGGATCCAAGCGCTTCTTCCAGAACATGTGGACGTCTTTCATCAAAGCTCGACTCGTGTGTGGTTTTCCCGGAGAGTCGCTGTATTTCAACCGTCTGCAGGACATTTACGTTCTCCACGAGGACAACTGGAACAACACAAAGGTCTACGCCATCTTCACGAGCAGCTGGTGAGCCACTTCCTCTTCCTCTATCAGCGCAAACCAGCTGACAACACTAACAACAGGTCTGACAGAGAGTAACGTCCGAGGGAGAGTATTATTAGCGTTCAATTTAGCCTTTAATGGTGATGTCCGCAACTTAGATTATAGTTCACCTTTAAAATAATGTATACATTATTATGTACACATGGTTTTAGCTGCAGGTGAAAGCCAGACACTGTCAGACCCCTGGGTCTAGGGTTAGGGCCACGGTTAAGGCCAGGGTTAGGGCCTGGGTTAGGGCCAGGGTTAGGGCCATGGTTAGGGCCACGGTTAAGGCCAGGGTTAGGGCCTGGGTTAGGGCCAGGGTTAGGGCCATGGTTAGGGCCTGGGTTAAGGCCAGGGTTAGGGCCTGGGTTAGGGCCAGGGTTAGGGCCAGGGTTAGGGCCAGGGTTAGGGCCAGGGTTAGGGCTAGGGTTAGGGCCAGGGTTAGGGCCAGGGTTAGGGCCTGGGTTAAGGCCAGGGTTAGGGCCAGGGTTAGGGCCAGGGTTAGGGCCAGGGTTAGGGCCAGGGTTAGGGCCAGGGTTAGGGCCAGGGTTAGGGCTAGGGTTAAGGCTAGGGCTAGGGTACACTTTTTAGCTCTTAACGAGCTGTTAATGAGTGAGGGCTAATCTAAAGTGTCTGAGTTACCACCTTAGAGATATGTACCCAGCTTTGACATTTCTAAACAAGAAGTCAATGTGCCTCTTTCTAATGACAGAGAAGCGTCGTCTCAGTCAATAACAATAATCTTTCCACAGAGTCCTTCCCAACACAGTGTTACTTCTAAATTGTGTGTTTTCTCCCAGGAACGCCACCGCTGTCTGCATCTACACCATTGGAACCATCGAAAATGTTTATGAGAATTCCAGCTTCAAGGGATACGACCGAGAGATTCCGTCTCCAAGACCAGGAACTGTATGTATGGCACTGGTTACTATCGTCGTTGGTTACTATCGTCATGGGTTACTATCGTCATGGGTTACTATCGTCATGGGTTACTATTGTCATGGGTTACTATCTTCATTGGTTACTATCTTCATTGATTACTATCTTCATTGGTTACTATCTTCATTGGTTACTATCGTCGTTGGTTACTATCGTCGTTGGTTACTATCGTCATGGGTTACTATCTTCATTGGTTACTATCTTCATTGGTTACTATCTTCATTGGTTACTATCTTCATTGGTTACTATCTTCATTGGTTACTATCGTCGTTGGTTACTATCGTCATGGGTTACTATCTTCATTGGTTACTATCTTCATTGGTTACTATCGTCGTTGGTTACTATCGTCGTTGGTTACTATCGTCATGGGTTACTATCGTCATGGGTTACTATCTTCATTGGTTACTATCTTCATTGGTTACTATCTTCATTGGTTACTATCGTCGTTGGTTACTATCGTCGTTGGTTACTATCTTCATTGGTTACTATCTTCATTGGTTACTATCTTCATTGGTTACTATCTTCATTGGTTACTATCTTCATTGGTTACTATCGTCATTGGTTACTATCGTCGTTGGTTACTATCGTCATGGGTTACTATCGTCATGGGTTACTATCTTCATTGGTTACTATCATCGTTGGTTACTGTTGCCGTTGGTTACTGTCGCCGTTGGTTACTATCATAAGATGTTACTGTCGTCATGGGTTACTGTCGTCATGGGTTACTGTCGCCATTGGTTACTGTCATCATTGGTTACTGTCGCCATTGGTTACTGTCGTCATTGGTTACTGTCGTCATTGGTTACTATCGTCATGGTTATTACTGTCATTGTTTCTGTGTGTGGAACTTCTCATTTTGAACTGATTTAAATTCCAGTTTTACAGTGTGTCTGGGAAAAGCTGCAGAAGCAGAAGTAGCTGGTTTTACTGTATATAGAGCTGTAGAGTCAGACGCGTCACATCCACCGCCTTCCTCTGCACAGTTCGGTGTCAGCTTGGTTTTCAGCAGTTAGCTTTTAGCATTTCACATTTGCTGTATTTCACGGTATATACAACCGGTTTATTTAATAAATCTGGCGGAAAAGTAAAAATGTTTAGGGGAATTTCTCAGAATTCAGTCGCCTTAAATGGGAGCAGTCAAAAAGACGGCTCTGGGAGTTCTAGTAGTTTCAGAAAAGGAATAGACAGGAAGCAATACATACTGCGATACTGAGTGAGACAGATGGAGATTTGAAGCAGTCCAATTCTATGGTGTAATAACTATGTTTATCATCGACCGGTTGCCACTCATTTCCTCTAGAAAACAATTTAGTCTGGAATTTGGTGAGCATTGTTTTGGTTACACTTGAGTAACTCCACCATTCACTGTAGTTCTTGTTTAGTATTGCACCAGTGTCTCAGCCCCCACACCCACTAAACAAGAGTCATGTTTATTCCAGTGTGTACGAAACAGCAAGAGTCTCCCTCTGGCAACGGTGAATGTGGTGAAGGACTATCCAGAGATGTCCGACTGGGTCCACTCTGTCCACTATGAAGCGCCATTTTACGTTAGCGACTACAACTACACAAAGATCGCCGTGGATCAGGTCCGAGGGGCCGACAACACCGTGTACAATGTTCTCCTTCTGGCCACTGGTACGTCCTTGTTTTGGTTTAGATTTAGCTTTTCTGGAGTCAGGCCATTGTAGAGTGCTTCCCTATTTAGCCGCCCTGCTTCCTGTGTTGTTTATCGCCACAGAACAATAAGCTAAAAATACCCAGGCGAGCTCGTATTGCTGGAGGTAATTGCTGCTTTTTTGCGACGCAGACTCGGGAAAGATCCATAAAGTCCTGGAGGCGGGACCTAAGCCGGTGGTCGTCTCGGAAACGCAGCTGCCAAGTCGCTCGCCGGTCCTGTCAATCAAACTGGACTCCAAAAAGGTATGGATTAAGAGGAGAAGTTTGTATACGCCTGGGACAGTCCGATGTTTGAGCCCTGAGTCCCAGAGGATTTATACAAAACTCAGTTGTGTCTCAGTTGTCGATTCACCAACAACAGATCAGAGAATCAAACAGTTCAAACATAAGAAATACAATAATAACAAAAACATTGGCGCCATTGTTCCATAAGGAGCAGGATGATCACTGTCCGGAAATGCTAATAAAGGTCCATTAACTTCTATAATATGGATCATAATGAAAACCTGGCCATACCTGCAGGTGAAAGCCAGATCCTGTCAGAGCTCGGAAGCTAAGCAGGGCAGGGCCTGGTTAGTGCTGTGATGGGAGACCTCTGGGAACAGCAGGTGCCACAGTGGAGCAACTGCATCCTTTGGCAAGACACTTTCCCCACATTAGAATGAGTCTGGTGTGTGTGTGAATGGTTGGTGGTGGTGGGAGGGGCCGATGGTACAGACTGGTTGCCTCGCTTCTGTCTGTGTGCCTCAGGGCAGCTGTGGCTACAATACAGTAGTAGTTTATATCGAGTGAATGAATAATAACATGTGAAATATCTTTGAGCGTCCAAAAAAGCACTATATAAAACCAAAGCATTATTATTTTGCATTATCCAGAATATAACGTACTTCATGATTGATAGTGTCTTGTCTTTGTCTTGTGTGTGCAGAGGAGACTGGTGGTGGGATTCTGGGACCTGGTTGTGACCGTGGACCTGCAGAAGTGTGACCACAGCTCTTCATGTGAGGACTGTGTTCTGGCCCAGGATCCGTACTGCGCCTGGTCTCCGGCGGAGGCCCAGTGCACCGCCTCTGCTCCGTCAGTTCCAACAACACAAACTTTATACCAACAACATTCAATGCATTCAATTCATTCTTGTTTTGTTTTGAAGCGGTGGCATCCAGAATGTAGTGACAGGAGCTCCCAGCGTGTGTCCCACTCCAGGTACATGTTATTATTATGTTGTTTTGGTGTTTTAGACTTTCTTCAGGACACACATGATCCAGAGCTGAGAAAATGGTTAAAGAAAATGTGAAAAAAGACGGAAATTCAAATACCATTATATTATATTAACACTAGTTTTCACATACTTTTGGCCGCTGACATGGTGAGGGCCTAAAACTGGTCCCAGAGTCAGGACTAAACATGAGGAAGCAGCGTTTTCAGATTTGTGTGTTCACTATTTTTAGTTCTCTTTAAGTCACTTCTCTTTAAAAGTACTCTGATTTGTCTGTGTAATTTTTACAGTTGCTCTAAATGAAAAAAACATTAATCAAAAAACAAATGTGACCTTTTTAAGAATATTTACCACCACCATGTTTTTGAATTCTTGTCATAGACTTAGAATTTAACTTTATAAATGTCCATGAGGCTGAGGACTTGCTGTGTTAATGCACCATCTTGAAATACAGTGGTTGATGAGGGACAAAAAGGAGTTTGGGCGGGAGTTTAGGGACCACTGTCAAAGACCACATATAGCACTGTAGTAGTACCGTAGATTACAATATATGATCTAAATGCTAGAGGGGAGTAAAAACTACACAGTGTACCTTTAATTGTCTTCTCTTCAAGTCACTTCTCACGACAAATGCAGTGTGTGTTGTATTTTCCTGTGAGTAATATGAAGCTAAAGCGGAAATTCAGAGTGGAAGACCTGAGAACCCAGCTCTGAGCGCTCAGTTCTCCTGCTGTTGCCCACAGCAACAGCAATCTGTCAATCACACTCAGCTGCGCAGGGCCTCACGCAAATCCTCCCCTGCAGCATCAGGCACTGCCCGCATCAGCTTCATATCACGCAGAAGCTCCATCCAAGCAGCAGCTTCATTCATGCCGCAACCCTCCTCCTCCCCATCTCCCCCTTGCTCCATAGGAGAAGGATGAATGAGCTCCTTCATCCTTCTCCTCGCTCCCACCACCAGGGTCTAGGCCCCGGGGGATTTCATCTCATAATCTCTTTCCCCTTCTGCAATCGTGCAGTGCTCTGCCGGGGTCTAAGCGCCAAATCCCAACCACAATCTGTCCAGCACAATTAATGTAATCTTGAATATTGTCTTTAGTGTGATATGTGTAATTCATGCAGTGCAATTCTAATACTCTGTTTTGCCTGTTCGAGTCTCTCCAGATTGAACTTTATTTATCTTTCTATTTTCTGTTCTCAGTCGTTCAGCCTCGGAGTAAACGAGAGGCTCAGACTTTGCTGTCAGTTCACGCGGTTCCTTTGGACGTTCCCTTCTACCTCTCCTGCCCCATAGACTCCTACCACGCAGACTACAGCTGGGAGCACAGGGACCAGCACAGGGACCTCCACAGGGACCAGCACAGGGACCAGTCCAGGGACCTCCACAGGGACCTCCACAGGGACCTCCACAGGGACGAGCCCAGGGACCTCCACAGGGACCAGCACAGAGACCTCCACAGGGACCAGCACAGGGATGAGCCCAGGGACCTCCACAGGGACCAGCACAGAGACCTCCACAGGGACCAGCCCAGGGTCCTCCACAGGGACCAGCATAGAGACCAGCACAGCCCCTGTCTTCAGATGGGGTCGGACTGCCTCCTCCTGATCCCCTCCATGGGATCCGAACACTACGGGAAGTACCAGTGCGTGTCTCGAGAACAGGGCTACGCCAAAGTAGTGAAACAGTATCTTCTCAAAGTCCAGGATGTAACCAGAGCCGAGACCAAAGTGGATCCACACGGTCTGAATAATGCAGTGTCACCGGTGTCACAAGGACTGTGGCTCACGCTGGGACTGGTCTTAGCCACGGCGTAACTATGGCGTAACTATGGCGCCGTGATATATGATACCGCATTCCTCACTGTGGCACGAATGCTGTTGTGTTACCTCGTACTTTCAACGCACTTTCATTCTTCTTTTCTCATCCAATATTTGAACAAAACAGCTCGGTTCCTTGTGAAGCCGAGGGTCTAAAGACAGTGATGATCCAGGACATTTACGTACATTTATGGACATTTATTATCCACACACATACACTCAGGAACACACGTAGACACACACACATGCACACACACACAGACACACACACACAGACAGTCACACACAGACAGTCACACACAGAGACACACAGACACACACACACAGACAGTCACACACACACATAAACACAGACACACACACACAGACAGTCACACACACACATAAACACAGACACACACACACACACACACACACACATGGGATTTTTCCTGGTTAAATAAAGGTTTTTAAGAAATTGTGGATTTTATAGAAAGAATATTATTTATTGTTTGTAGATTATGACTGTAACGGTTCGTCTGCTGCAGGTGGATGTCTCCTCCACCCCGGAAAGTCTTTGGGCGTCATTTCAATATTCAAAGTAAAAAGTGTGTTTTCTTCCGTTCTCCCAGTGCCTTTTATTCCACCTCGATCTGACAAAAACAAAAACATGCAGAGAACATTGGATTCTCGTGGTTAAAATGTTCAAAGCAGATTATTTAAATACATTTTCTGCACTTCCTGTTTTGCAGAAAAGAAGGAACCGTCGGCAGAATGTCAATATTTACAGTATTTATCTTTTCTGCTCATGTTGATTATAAATAAACTGTATTTTCATATGTTTTGGCTTTTTTTAAATAAAAAAACAAAACTGTGGTTGTGTCCTTTGGCAAGACACTTCCCCCGCTTTAGAATGAGTCTGGTGTGTGTGAATGGTTGGTGGTGGTGGGAGGGGCCGATGGCACAGACTGGTTGCCTCGCTTCTGTCAGTGTGCCCCAGGGCAGCTGTGGCTACAGTAGTAGTTTATCACCACTGTGTATGAAATGAAAGAATAATGTTGTGGAGCTTGTGGTTCACAGCAAGAAGGTCCTGGGTTCAATTCCACTTCCAGACCTTTCTTTGTGGAGTTTGCATGTTCTCCTCGTGTCTGCCACTAAAAACATGTACAATAGGTCTGAATGGAGTGAGTGGATGGTGTTTGGTCAGAGGCTTTGATGGACCAGTGTGTTCGGCTATATACATGAATAAGTAATATTTATCTATGTAGCGCAATTTTTTTCTTTATTCTTTATTTAAAACCGGCACAAAACATATGTTTACGTTTATAAATATAACAGATAAATAACTTAAGTAAGTAAGTAAGTAAGTAATCTTTATTTATAACTTGCACCAGACAAAGGTCACCCAAACAAATTTACAACGTATAATAAATGTAAAATAAATAAATAATACTTACTTACTAAAGAATTGCTGTTTAACCTTGATCCATAATGATTACACACCAGCTGCTAACACCATGTGCCTGAATGGTACAGTGTATTTTGTGGCGTTTCCCTTGATGGTAGCGCTCTGATGGTTCTGTCTCGGAACAATACTAGAAAAATAAATCAGTGGTCTTGTATTTCTTCCATTTTCTAATACTGGCTCCACAGTTGATTTCTTCACATATCATCAGCGCATCCCTCTGCAGCTTATCAGTCTTCCAGCCTGGTGCAGGTCTACACTCACAACCTGGGTCTGATGGCCACAGTGGAGTTTGGAGTGTGACTGTATGAGTTTTGGACAGGCATAGTCTTTCATACTGAATAAAACAAATTCAAACTGTGCCATAAATACGAGTGGAGGACAGAGGAGCCACATAAGAAGTGGTGACAGGTTGTGAGAGCCAGAAATCTCTACTTGTTATGTAGGTGACCACTATTTTTCCACATAATTTTCAAACAAATGAATTGAATATTGGTTTTCTGGATTGTATATTCTTTTAAACACATACTGTATGTGATTTACAATTCAAAGGCTTCAGCTAATACAACGTGTTATCAACAGTAGATTCTCTGGCCCGTGACTATCTCTGGCAACTTTGAGCTCATACCCATTCATGACCGTTGCTCTCCAACTTTGAGATGCAGGAGTCTGCCCAAAAGGACTGCTTTAATGGAACAGTGACGAGAGACCAGAGAGGGAGAGAAACCAGAGAGAGAGAGACCAGCAGAGAGAGACCAGAAAGAGAGACCAGAGAGAGAGAGACCAGAGAGAGAGACCAGAGAGAGAGAGAGACCAGAGAGAGAGAGACCAGAGAGAGAGAGACCAGAGAGAGAGAGACCAGAAAGAGAGACCAGAGAGAGAGAGACCAGAGAGGGAGAGACCAGAGAGAGAGACCAGGGACAGACCAGAGAAGAATCAGAGGAAGACCAGAGAAAGACCAGAGACGGACCATAAACAGACCAATGAGAGAACAGCTAATTACATTTGGTTAGTGAGGCAGAGGGCCACAGAAAAAGACACAGAGGACCGCCAAAGGCACGTGGTCCTCAGCTTGGCCGTCTTATAGAGTTCACAGCCTGTATATAATTGTTACAACGCTGGCCTCAGAAAACTACTCCATATTCTTTTAAAAACTGTAATAGTATCCGAGTACAGAGCTTCTACCGCCGCCGGTCTGAATAAGCGCTCCCCGGAGACTTGTCATTTCTCACTCAGCTGGAGCTCGATTCAAGGCCAATTTTTGCTGAAAGGAGTGCGCACAAAAGCAGCTCTATTATCGTTGCTGTGGGACTGAACTCTCTCCACTCTCTCGGACACTTAAAGACCCAGGCCTTTGACCGCGCGTTGGCGTCAATCCGCTCTCAAACGCCATCCACAGAAAGGCACTAACCACGGCATCAGCGAGGCCAGAGCCGCAGGTGTCCCCACAAGGATACACAGACAGGTTTGAAGTGTGTGTCGTTGAAGTCTCAATCCTAATCCTGTTAGATCTAAGTGCTGCCTTTGATACTGTCGACCATGAGATCCTCTTACAGAGACTAGAGGACTGGGTTGGCGTCGCTGGCACCGCCCTAAGTTGGTTTAGGTCTTACCTTGAAGACAGGAAGTACTTTGTGGAGATTGGAAACTGTGTCTCAGATCATATGGCCCTGACCTGTGGAGTACCACAGGGGTCGATCCTGGGACCTCTTCTGTTCAATCTCTACATGCTGCCGTTAGGTCAGTTAATACGCAGAAACAAAGTTTCCTATCATAACTATGCAGACGACACTCAGATCTATGTCTCACTGACTGCAGGAGAACATGGACCAGTGGACTCACTCCTTCACTGTATCCAACAGATCAGTGAGTGGATGCAAAACAACTTCCTTCAGCTAAACGCAGACAAAACTGAAATGATTGTCTTTGGTCCCCAGAAACAAAGAGAGAGCGTCATCTGTCACCTACAGTCTCTCTCCCTAAAACCTTCTAACAAGGTCAGAAATCTAGGGGTAATACTGGACTCAGACTTAAATTTTAATAGCCACATCAAATCAGTAACATCAGCAGCTTTTTACCATCTAAAAAACATTGCCAGGATCAAAAACATAGTGTCTAAAGCAGACTTGGAGATTCTTATCCATGCATTTGTCTCCAGTAGGTTAGACTACTGCAATGGCCTGCTCACAGGTCTGTCCAAACAGGCTGTAAAACAGCTGCAGTACATTCAAAATGCAGCAGCTCGAGTCCTGACTAGAACCAGGAAGTACGACCACATTAGTCCTGACTAGAACCAGGAAGTACGACCATATTAGTCCGGTCCTCAGGTCCCTGCACTGGCTTCCTGTGGCTCAGAGAATAGACTTTAAAACAGCTCTGCTTGTGTACAAATCTCTCCATGGCCTCGCACCAAAATATATTAGTGACATGTTAGTCCCATATGAACCAGCCCGGACTCTGAGGAGCACAGGGACTGGACTCCTGTTAGTGCCCAGAGTCAGAACTAAACATGGGGAGGCTGCTTTTCAGATTCATGCTGCTAAAATCTGGAACAATCTTCCTGAAGATGTGAGACAGGCCTCCTCTCTGACAATGTTTAAAACCAGGTTAAAAACGGTGCTGTTTAGCTGTGCATACAACTGAGGGATTTTATATTTTTATCTTTCGTTTTAATGTTCTGTAATTATTTATGATTTTAATGCTATCTTGTTCAGCACTTTGAGTTGCCTTGTGTATGAATTGTGCTATACAAATAAACTTGCCTTGCCTTGCCTTGCCTTGTTGTGTGTTCGTGAAAAAATAAATCAATAAACGGATGTAAGTGGGTTTTACAGCGTGGACATTGAACTCATGGCTTTCCTCATTAGTGTTGGAAATAGAGCTTTCATTAAGAGAGAAAGAGGTGGATTATCTTTGGACAGGAGAAGTGCTCACTACAGCGGCTTCTGCGGGTTTGGGAAGAAAAAAACGTTTAGAATTTTTTTTTTCTAGTAGTTCTGGTGTTTGTTTTATTTTCTTTGATAATCTAGATCATTTTGTTTTGATAATGTTTAAAGACCTTATGACGGGTTTGATTTATTTAGAAATACAGTTTTAATACGTGCTGACACGTCTCTGCAACATCGCGCGGCGATCGGGGGCAGTGCCAATGGAGTGGCAGACCGGGGTGGTGGTCCCTCTCTACAAGGAGGGGGACCGGAGGGTGTGTTCCAATTATCGTGGGATCACACTCCTCAGCCTCCCCGGTAAGGTCTACTCCAAGGTACTGGAGAGGAGGCTACGTCCGATGGTCGAATCTCGGATTCAGGAGGAGCAGTGTGGTTTTCGTCCCGGTCGCGGAACACTGGACCAGCTCTATACTCTCCATCGGATACTCGAGGGTTCATGGGAGTTCGCCCAACCTGTCCACATGTGCTTTGTGGATTTGGAGAAGGCGTTCGACTGTGTTCCCCGGGGTGTCCTTTAGGGGGTTCTCCGGGAGTACCGGGTCCGGGGTCCTCTGCTGAGGGCCATCCGATCCCTGTATGACCGGAGCCAGAGCTGTGTTCGCATTGCCGGCAGTAAGTCAGACCTGTTCCCGGTGCATGTTGGCCTCCGACAGGGCTGCCCTTTGTCACCGGTTCTGTTCACTGTATTTATGGACAGAATATCTAGGCGCAGCCAGGGGTCGGAGGGGGTCCGGTTCGGAGACCACAGGATTTTATCTCTGCTGTTTGCGGACGATGTTGTCCTGTTGGCTCCAACGAACCAGGACCTGCAGCATGCACTGGGACGGTTTGCAGCCGAGTGTGAAGCGGCTGGGATGAGAATCAGCACCTCCAAATCCGAGGCCATGGTGCTCGACCGGAAAAAGGTGCCTTGCCCTCTTCAGGTGGGTGGAGAGGTCCTTCCTCAAGTGGAGGAGTTCAAGTATCTCGGGGTCTTGTTCACGAGTGAGGGGAGGATGGAGCGTGAGATTGACAGGCGGATCGGTGCAGCGTGCGCAGTGATGCGGTCGCTGTATCGGACCGTTGTGGTAAAGAGGGAGCTGAGCCGAAAGGCAAAGCTCTCAATTTACCGGTCAATCTTCGTTCCCTCCCTCACCTATGGTCATGAGCTTTGGGTAATGACCGAAAGAACGAGATCGCGGATACAAGCGGCCGAAATGAGCTTCCTCCGCAGAGTGGCTGCTCCCTTAGAGATAGGGTGAGGAGCTCGGTCGCACGGGAGGAGCTCGGAGTAGAGCCGCTGCTTCTCCACGTCGAGAGGAACCAGTTGAGATGGCTCGGGCATCTGTTCCGGATGCCTCCTGGACGCCTCCCTGGGGAGGTGTTCCGGGCACGTCCCACCGGGAGGAGGCCCTGCGGAAGGCCTAGGACACGCTGGAGGGACTATGTCTCTCAGCTGGCCTGGGAACGCCTTGGGGTCCCCCCGGACGAGCTGGAGTGTGTGTGGATAGGGAAGTCTGGGCGTCTCTGCTTAGACTGCTGCCCACGCGACCCGGCAACGGATGAAGCGGAAGAAAATGGATGGATGGATGGATGGAGTTTTAATACCATTTTATATTAGAAGAGAACTACTAAAGGTTTCAAATCGAAATAACCCCATAGCAACGCCCTTAGAGACGAAAAAACTTCACAGCCCTTGGTGACGTCAGAGTGGGTACGTTTCAACGCTGTAAGTTGTTTACAATTTGGTATTTGTTCTTTTTTCGCGGATATTCAAGATGACAAGGTCGTGTACAGCGAGTGTGACATAAATTCTAGATTATAACTCTTGTTGTCACTGAGATAGTCCAGTGGTTGTGTCGATGGACTGTCAATCCAGATACTTGGGTTCAAATCCCACCTCCGACACTTTTTCACTCTCAAAACGGCAATTTATGTGTAGTGAGCAATTGTCACCTGTAGAGGGCAGTATTGTGTTGGGCATCAGTGGAGAGAAGAGAGAAAAGGCAGTCCTGTGGCATAGATCCATGGTTTTCAATGCATGGGCGTTACCCGCTGTGACGTCACACACAGGTTAGAGCATAGACAGCTTAAATTCATGAAAAACACGTTCTTTTTATAAAATATAGGATTTTTTTTGCCGGAATCTCTTTCAGATCAACATTGTCATGCAATTTTGATATCCAAAATTTTTGTCTTTAATACATTATTTCTGATTGGCCAGAGCATGGGGTAATGACGTATTTATTCTTTTAGCTAAAATCTGGAACAGTCTTTCTGAAAATGCAAGATGGAGAGAGACCAGAGAGAGCAGAGAGAGACCAGAAAGAGACAAGAGAGAGACCAGAGAGAGCAGAGAGAGACCAGAAAGAGACAAGAGAGAGACCAGAGAGACCAGAGAGAGACCAGAGAGAGACCAGAGAGAGAGACCAGAAAGAGACAAGAGAGAGACCAGAGAGAGACCAGAGAGAGACCAGAGAGAGACCAGAGAGAGAGACCAGAAAGAGACAAGAGAGAGACCATAGAGAAACAAGCAAGAGACCAGAGAGACCAGAAAGAGCAGAGAGAGACCAGAGGGAGACAAGAGAGAGAGAGAGAGACCAGAAAGAGCAGAGACCAGAGAGAGACCATAGAGAAACAAGCGAGAGACCAGAGAGAGACCAGAGGGAGACCAGAGAGAGACCAGAGGGAGACCAGAGAGAGAGAGAGAGACCAGAAAGAGCAGAGACCAGAGAGAGACCAGAGAGAGGCAAGAGTGAGAAGGATTGTATCTTTTCTAATCTGATTATTTATTATATTATTTGAATGTCTTTTGTATGTTTATGTTTCTTATAGTTACCAGTGAAACATTATATTTTACTTCTCTCCTATTTTCCTTATTCTAAAGTAATGAAATAAAATAACAACAACAAAACAATTTGCATCAAACAAATATATCAACATTTATTTTGAAAGTATAAAATTTGACACAATAAAGGCCACTTGTTGGGTAAACCATCAACCTTTAAAGTCTGTTCGTCACTGGTCCAGAAAGAAACCATGAAACCATAAAACAAAATAAAACTTGTTCTACTTCACCACGGAGCACAGTCGGCAAGATCGCAATAAGTTATTCATGAGTGAGACTTCCTGATACATCCCACAGAGAGCAACCCTGGGCTCCTGAGCAGAGGCACAGCACGACACAGCTGGGGCCCCGGGGAGGAGAGAGGCCCCCAACGGAGAGAGGCAGGTCCCACAGAGGAGAGAGAGAGGCCCCCAACGGAGAGAGGCAGGTCCCACAGAGGAGAGAGAAGCCCCCAACGGAGAGAGGCAGGTCCCAGAGAAAGAGAGAGGCCCCCAACGGAGAGAGGCAGGTCTCACAGAGGAGAGAGAGAGGCCCCCAACGGAGAGAGGCAGGTCCCACAGAGGAGAGAGAAGCCCCCAACGGAGAGAGGCAGGTCCCAGAGAAAGAGAGAGGCCCCCAACGGAGAGAGGCAGGTCCCACAGAGGAGAGAGAGAGGCCCCCAACGGAGAGAGGCAGGTCCCAGAGGGGGGAGAGAGGCCCCAAAGGGAGAGAGGCAGGTCCCACAGAGGAGAGAGAGGCCCCCAACGGAGAGAGGCAGGTCCCAGAGGAAAGAGGGAGCCCCCATACGGGGGGAGGCGGGTCCCAGAGGAGAGAGAGAGGCAGGTCCCACAGAGGAGAGAGAGAGGCCCCCAACGGAGAGAGGCAGGTCCCACAGAGGAGAGAGAGAGGCAGGTCCCACAGAGGAAAGATAGAGGCCCCCAACGGAGAGAGGCAGGTCCCACAGAGGAGAGAGAAGCCCCCAACGGAGAGAGGCAGGTCCCAAAGGAGAGGGAGAGGCAGGTCCCACAGAGGACAGAGGCCCCCAACGGAGAGAGGCAGTTCCACACAGAGCAGAGAGAGAGGCAGGTCCCACAGAGGAGAGAGGCCCCCAACGGAGAGAGGCAGGTCCCAAATGAGAGAGAAGCCCCCAACGGAGAGAGGCGGGTCCCAGAGGAGAGAGAGAGGCCCCCAACGGAGAGAGGCAGGTCCCAGAGAGGAGAGAGAGAGGCAGGTTCCACAGAGGAGAGGGAAGCCCCCAACGGAGAGAGGCAGGTCGAAGAGGAAAGAGAAATGCCCCCTACGGCGAGAGGCAGGTCCCACAGAGGAGAGAGAGAGGCCCCCAACGGAGAGAGGCGGGTCCCAGAGGAGAGAGAGGCAGGTCCCAGAAGAGAGAGGCCCCCTACGGAGAGAGGCTCCAACCAGAAGAGAGAAAGAGAGACATCCCCCCCACCAGAGTTGAGAGGCCCCCCCATCAGAAGAGAGAGCGGCGAAAGAGGCGATATTTCAACCAGGAATCCAAGGTACAGCAGTTTGATCTGTGATGAATGGTTAAATTAGCTTATTCCTTGTAATATTTTGTTTTCTCTTCTGTATTTTGTGTGATGATATTAATCTATTGTGAGACGTCCTTGAGTGTCTTAAACGGCGCCATGAAATAAAAACAAGTAAGTTTGAGAATAGTGGATGAATAGTTTTAGTTTTACTTCCGAAACACAGGCAGGCGTTGGATTCGGTCGCCATCGCTCACACCTCTCTGCTCCCTCTCTCTGGTCTCTGTCTGGTCTCTGTCTAGTCTCTCTGGTCTCTCTCTGATCTCGCTCACTCTGGTCTCTCTCACTCTGGTCTCTCCTTGGTCTCTCTCTGGTCTCTCTCTGGCCTTGCTCTGGTCTCTCTCTGGTCCCTCTCTGGCCTCTCTCTGGTCTCTGTCTAGTCTCTCTGGTCGCTCTCTGGTCTCTCTCGCTCTGGTCTCTCTCACTCTGGTGTCTCTCGCTCTGGTCTCTCTCGCTCTGGTCTCTCTCACTCTGGTCTCTCTCACTCTGGTCTCTCTCTGGTCTCTCTGGTCTCTCCCTGGTCTCTCTCTCTCGTCTCTCTCGTAGAGAGAGACGAGAGAGAGAGACGAGACGAGACTGGTCTCTCTCTCTCGTAGACATTCACGACACCAGGTCCAGCCACAAACTGTAGAATAGTGACATAGAAAGAGTCTGTGTTTGGGTCTGGGGCCTTCAGAGGAGCATGGTCCAGTCCTACTCCGTGTCACTGAGGTAGAACAGGTAAACCAAAGAAAAGACTCGTTTCTGAACATACAAATTAGTAACAGTCGCGTAATGTTTACTGGAGTCATAAAGGGAAAAGACGAGTCACATTTCAGGAGCTTGTAGACTCACACGGCCACTTCCCTTCAGACTGCAGCGGGAGGCGGCTACGGCCACATGGATCACATGGGATTGTTTAGGAAATGAGGCAAATATTGGATATATTACACCCAATATTGAATATTGGGTGTTAAAAGGGCGACAGTAGCTCAGTTGGTAGAGCATTGGCCTTAAGGCCAGAAGGTCGTGGGTTCAATTCCCACCTCTGCACCTTCTCCATCGACTCCCACTGATGACTGCTGTCGTTGTGTCCTTGGGCAAGACACTTAACCCCACTTTGCCCAAAAGCCCCCACTGAAAGATCAAGGCTATGCTCACACTCAGAGAGCAGCCGTCCTCCTGTGGACTCACCACCTGCAGAGGGTCAGTGAGGGGCTGGTGCTATGAGACTTGGGTGGCATCTCTGACTGCCACCCCCCTGACCCAGAAATGGATTAAAGGGTAGAAAATGGATGGATGGATGGGTGTTAAAATCGATTCTGTGAAGATGAGGCCAGAGAGAGAAGAGAGAGAGAGGCCGGAGAGAGACTAGAGAGAGACCAGAGAGAGAGGCCGGAGAGAGACTAGAGAGAGAGACTAGAGAGAGACCAGACCAGAGAGAGAGCAGAGAGAGGCCAGAGACAGACCAGAGAGAGACCAGAGAGAGAGACTAGAGAGAGACCAGACCAGAGAGAGAGAGACCAGAGAGAGAGACTAGAGAGAGACCAGACCAGAGAGAGAGAGACCAGAGAGAGGCCAGAGAGAGAGACCAGAGAGAGAGGCCGGAGAGAGAGACCAGAGAGAGAGACCAGAGAGAGAGCAGAGAGAGAGGCCAGAGAGAGAGACCAGAGAGAGAGACCAGAGAGAGAGACCAGAGAGAGAGGCCGGAGAGAGAGACCAGAGAGAGAGGCCGGAGAGAGAGACCAGAGAGAGAGACCGGAGAGAGAGACCGGAGAGAGAGACCAGAGAGAGAGACCAGAGAGAGAGGCCGGAGAGAGAGACCAGAGAGAGAGACCAGAGAGAGAGGCCAGAGAGAGAGACCAGAGAGAGACCAGAGAGAGACCAGAGAGAGACTGAGAGAGGCCAGAGAGAGACTGAGACTAGAGAGAGACCAGAGAGAGACCAGAGAGAGACCAAAGAGAGACCAGAGAAAGGCCGCGATATTTGATTAAAGAATCATCTGTTTCACTTATGTGTTTGTTCTGAGTATTCTCTGGTCATTTACAGTTGTGTATTACATCCACCAGGGGGCGCTAGTTGCAGTGCTTTGTGCTTTTGCATCAATTCAACAGAAAGTTCAAATGAAATCTGTGTTTTTTCCCTCGCCTCCAAAGGGTTCAGCTCAAACTTTTTTCTGATAATTTTCTAGCTTTAATACAGATCTCCTGCTTCAGACGCAGAACCAGCACAGAACCATTTCAAATACACTGAACGTTCTTTGATCCAGACCCACCACACTGGCCTCCAAGTCTACAAGTCCTGGGATCCGTGATCTCTGCCCTCGGACTTTCACACATGCTACTCGAGTGCAAACATAAATACAGAAGGTCCACAGCAGAGGCCTGTCACAATAATCCCCAGATCCACTTGGAATTCAACCATAAATAATAATAATAATAATAATAATAATAATGCCGTTTGTGTCGTTGCAATAGAGCAGGGGTCCCCAACCTTTCTCCCATGAAGAGCTACTCTTTTAGGCTGTTCAAAAGAAATCAAGTCATTGGTGTAGAACGGTATAGAACGGTATTGGATTATTTTATGGGTATTTCACTTTTAACCAATTATTTCGGGAATTTAATGTTTTGCTAAGCACCTTGAGTTGCCTTTTGTTATATATCGTTAATGAACATTTCTGAATTAACGACGTATAACAGTGAAGGCAAAGCAAACTTATTCTTTGAAATGTCTAAAACCTTTGGGGAGCTACTTGGAAAGCGGCGGCGAGCTACAGGTAGCTCCCAAACCACAGGTTGGAGATTAAAAATTAAATTAAAAAAGCACGATTAAGAGTTTGAAAACACAAAAATAGTCTTAAACAAGATTTCAAACTTTACCTCATTCGTTTTGTTGTTATTTTTATCTTACAAGTACATTCTTTACTGTCTTTAAACAAGATTCGCAAATATACAAGAATAAATTCATAAAGAATAAAGATCATTTTGCTTTTTCCCGTTGGCAGATCTCGTTTTAAGACTGTGCTTGAATTATTTTTGCCAATTTTCAGACATTTTGGACTTATTTTTCATTGCTTTTTGCAGGAAGTAGAATTCGTTTTATTGTAGATCTATGGCCTACGGAGCGACAGTGTTTCTCTGTGGGAGGATTCTCTTATTGTGACAGGCACCGACACATTCCTCTCTCTCAACGGTAAGTCCAGAGTCCGAGATCGAGTCCAGAGTCTCAGCTGGAGTCCAGAGTCCGAGCACAAGTTCTCAGTCTCAGCTTGAGTCCTCAGTCCGAGCTTAAATCTAGAGACCAAGCTCAGGTCCGCAGTCCAAGCTTGAATCCAGAGACCGAGTTTAGAATCCTCAGTCTCAGCTCGAGTCCAGAGTCCGAGCTCGAGTCCCTCTCAAAGTCCTGAGGTCCTGGAATGAAGAAGCAACGGCCTCTGCGGACCACGAGGAGCTGCGGACCACAAGGAGCTGAGGACCACGAGGAGCTGAGGACCACGAGGAGCTGAGGACTACGAGGAGCTGAGGACCACGAGGAGCTGAGGACCACGAGGAGCTGAGGACTACGAGGAGCTGAGGACCACGAGGAGCTGAGGACCACGAGGAGCTGAGGACCACGAGGCGCTGAGGACTACGAGGAGCCGTCCATCCTCTGTGTGATGATGCTCTCTGTGGCCTTGAGCAGCTTCTCCAGACACGGCGCGTTGATCTTCCCCAGCGGCGGGCCCCGGGGCCTGGGCTCCGTGTGAGAGTCTGTGGTGGAGGACACGGCACAGTCCTGGGTGAGGTCCTGGGTGAGGTCCTGGGTGAGGTCCGGGGCGGGGCTGAGTTGGGCCCTGGGGGAGCAGAGCGGAGACGTGTGCAGCCACTTCACGGTTCTGTGGGCTCCGGGCGGCGTGAGGTCCGTGACCCTCAGGACGTGGGGCCCCGAGTCTGTGTCAGTGACGGTGAAGGGCCCCACAGGCAGAGAAGGGCGGAGCTGAGGAGGAGAGAGGGATGTGATCAAAACCATCTCAGTGCGGATCTATGCACAAAAATTCATACATTTTTCTGCCCCTTGTCAAACCCTACACACAAGTATTCACATAAAAACATACTGAACACACTGAAATAAATGTTGAAAAATAAGTTAAAAATGTCTCAAATTTGGCAAAATGTGTCTTAATCTGAGCACATTCTGACTGAGCCTTAAAACAAGATTCTCGAACGGCGGCACGGTGGCTGAGTGGATAGCACTCTCGCCTCTCAGCAAGAAGGTCCTGGGTTCGAATCCCGGTTGGACCAGGGCCTTTCTGAGTGGAGTTTGCATGTTCTCCCCGTGTCTGCGTAGGTTTCCTCCGGGTACTCCAGGTTTCCCCTACCACTAAAAATATGTACAATAGGTCTGGCATGTGCCTCCTGTACTGGCCCCGCTCCCAAAAATAACAATTGTAAACCGCTTTGAGACTCCGATGTGCAGTGAAAAGGCGCTATATAAAATAAAGATTACTACTACTACTACTCCAACGGGACAAAGCAAAATGACGTTGTTTTAAAAAGAGACAGAAATGTCCTTGGAATGAGGAAATAAAGCAGCAGTTTTTGGAATAAGACTAAAGGGTTTTGTCCCGTTGGAGACTCTGGTTTGAACAAAGTCAGAATGTGTCAGATTTGTTTGAAGTTTGTTTAAAGTTGGATTTATTTAAGGACAGTTGCACTAAAAAGATTCTGAACCAGATTTAGCTCCGGCTTCTTTCCACCTGTGCTCCGTAACAATACAATCATAACTATAGCATAATAATATACCGTTCAAATTCAAATTATTATTATTTATTTATTGTTAATTTGGTTTGGACAGTGCATGTTCATGAACACATCACTCCAGATTGTACCTTGGGCTAATTTGCCTCTGTCGTCCCACATTTGCACTCACAAACACACACTCATTCACCTTTCCTAGGTGAATGAGAGGTGAATTCACATTTCCTAACTTATGTGACTTATTTTTCATAATTTTTTGCAGTGTAATAGACTTTAACTTAGACTTTAATTCAGACTTTACCTTAGACTTCTTGGCGGGAACAGGGTCGTCTGTCTCAGCGGCACGAGGCGGGAGCTGGACGTGAGGAAACCAGCTCTTCAGCATCTCCTCCATCTTCAGAATGATGTTTATGTATTTATCCCTGAAACCAAACACAACGTTTATCCGTAAGAACACACAAGAAAGAAAACATGGGACAAAACACACACATACACACACATGCGCACACACACACAGAGACACACACACAGACACATGTGCACGCACACACAGAGACACACACGCACACAGAGACACACGCACACACACACACACACAGAGACAGACACACACACACACACAGACACACACCCACGCACACAGAGACGCACACACAGACACACACACGCACACACAGACAGAGACACATGCACACACACACACACACACATGCGCACGCACACATAGAGATACACACACACACACAGAGAGACACACACAGACACACACACACGCGCACACACACACACAGAGACACACACACACAGACACACACAGACACAGAGACACACACACACACAGACACACACACACACACACACACACACGCACACACACACACACAGACACAGACACACACACACACGCACACAGAGACACACACACGCACACACACAGGCCCAAAACCCTCTCCGACCCTACACCTCTCTCCCACTTCTGCTGTCTGATTCTTTATGGCATTTCTACACTTTTACAGTATTTTAACTCTTGTGTTTCTGTGTTTTTGATGTACACTGGTGATCTGTCTGTAAATGAACTTTCACGGATCAATAAAGTTATTTGAATTGAATTGAATTGGGCTCGAGGCATCACTTCTTTCTTTTTAAATGTAATCAGGTTTGAACATGTTTTTAATTCTCCTTTTTGGCGTGTGTCGGAGGTTTCACAGGTTTGCTGCCTCCAAATACACACTGTCTTTGAGAAAACTCTGTCCTCTGACGCAGACGCAAGAGGTCGATCTATGATGTCATAGATAGACAGGACCAGCTGGTCACATGATCACACGCGTCCTCCGACAGGTATGGGAAAGATTATCTACTGGTACTTTGATGTTAGATGTAGGAGGGGAGGGAGGAGAGAGGAGGGAGGAGAGAGGAGAGAGGAGAGAGGAGAGAGGAGGGAGGAGAGAGGAGAGAGGAGAGAGGAGAGAGGAGTGTGGGAGGCTACAGTCTGGTCCACAGGGACAGACACATCTCCCTCTGTCTCCTCTGAAGGAGCAGCTGTGGCTCAGTCTGCAGTGAAACAGTGAAGCAGTGACGCAGTGAAACAGTGAAGCAGTGAAGCAGTGAAGCAGTGAAGCAGTGACGCAGTGAAGCAGTGAAGCAGTGAAGCAGTGACGCAGTGAAGCAGTGAAGCAGTGACGCAGTGAAGCAGTGAAGCAGTGACGCAGTGAAGCAGTGAAGCAGTGAAGCAGTGAAGCAGTGAGGCAGTGACGCAGTGAAGCAGTGAAGCAGTGACGCAGTGAAGCAGTGAAGCAGTGAGGCAGTGAGGCAGTGAAGCAGTGACGCAGTGAAGCAGTGAAGCAGTGAGGCAGTGACGCAGTGAAGCAGTGAAGCAGTGAAGCAGTGAAGCAGTGAAGCACTTCAGAGACGGAGTGACTGCAGCAGAGGACGGCCGTCTGTGTTTTACTCTAATGCTTTTGTGTTCTTCCACACTCACTGCAAACAGCTATAACATACAGCATGAGCTAATACATGCTGGAATTAGGTGATTTTTAATCCTAAATTGTTGACTTATTTTTCATCACTTTTTGCAGTGTACAGCACATCAGCACTGCAAAAAGTGTGTTTGTTCAAAAAATATACAAGAAACATCTCCCTTGGAATAAAAAAATAAAGACTTTTGAAATAAGACTGAATGTATTTGTCCCATTAAATAATCTTGTTTTAACACAGTCACAATGTGTCAGATTAAGATAGAAAACACTGGATTCTACTTCATATTTTACCATTTTTTGCAGTTAAGTCTGGTTTTGAACTGGCTCAAGAGTCAGTGTGGTGTCTCTGTCTGTGTCTCTCTGTCTCTCTCTGTCTCTCTCTCTCTCTCTTTCTGTCTCTCTCTGTCTCTCTCTCTCTCTTTCTGTCTCTCTCTGTCTCTCTCTCTCTCTCTGTCTCTCTGTCTCTCTCTGTCTCTCTCTGTCTCTTTCTGTCTCTCTCTGTCTCTCTCTCTCTCTCTCTCTCTCTCTCTCTCTCTCTCTCTCTCTCTCTCTCTCTCTCGGGGTCACTCACCCTAAGCAGGGGTTCTGCAGGACGCCCATGATCCTCTGAATGCGGTCCATGGCCACACTCTCTTGGAAAGTGCTGAGTCCTGAAACAGGAAGTGAGAGACACGTGAGGCTCTGACGACGGACGCTTTGGGGACAGCGAGGTCGTTTCAGGACAGCAGAAAACGTGCCACAACATTCTCACATTTGTGTAATGTGTGTGTCCACTGCAGCGGTTTGTGCGACGACAGATTTATGATGTGTTTCCATTTCAGTAAAAGAAGAGAAAGTATTTATGATCCATGCTCCGCACAGGCACTGGTGCTACACAACACACTGCAGATAAGAAGTACTCAAAGTATATTCTAAACTTTATGAGAGCGGAGAAGAGAGAGGGAGAGAGAAAGGAGACCAGAGAGGAGATAGAGAGGAGAGAGAGGGAGAGAGAAAGGAGAGAGCAGAGAGGAGATAGAGAGGAGAAAAGAGAGAGGAGAGAGGGAGAGAGAAAGGAGAGAGCAGAGAGGAGATAGAGAGAGAGGAGACAGAGAAAAGAAGAGAGCAGAGAGAAGAGAAGAATGAATGAGAAGAGATCATTACATGTGTTTTGCAATTGTAAGTAACAGGAAGTCACAAACTATGAATTATCTTTGGGATACAATGCCGAAGTAAAAGTATTAACAAAAAGTAAAACATTTTTAAAAACAGATAAAGGCTTTAATGTTTGTAGATGACAGAACACACTCACGTTCTCTGTATCTGCCGGAACGAAGTCCATTCAAGATCAAAGACAAAGGCCGGATAAAACATTGGAGCTCGGCACACTGTAAAAGAACACACACAGACAGACACAGACACACACACGCATGGACGCACACACACAGACAGACACAGACACACACACGCATGGACGCACACACAGAGACAGACACAGACACACACACGCATGGACGCACACACACAGACAGACACAGACACACACACGCATGGACGCACACACACAGACAGACACAGACACACACACGCATGGACGCACACACACAGACACACACACAAACACATACAGTACACACATTAGAAGGTGTCAAACATGGGGCTGTCCTGACTGGAAAGCCTGTGTGTGAGATCGATGAGAGAGAGGAGAGGAGTGAGGAGAGGAGAGGAGAGGGGTGAGGAGAGGAGAGAGGAGAGGAGAGGAGTGAGGAGAGGAGTGAGGAGAGGAGAGGAGAGAGGAGAGGAGAGGAGAGGGGTGAGGAGAGGAGAGGAGTGAGGAGAGGAGAGGAGAGGAGAGGGGTGAGGAGAGGAGAGAGGAGAGGAGAGGAGTGAGGAGAGGAGAGGAGTGAGGAGAGGAGAGGAGAGGGAGAGAGAAAGGAGAGAGCAGAGAGGAGAGGAGTGAGGAGAGGAGTGAGGAGAGGAGAGGAGAGAGGAGAGGGAGAGGAGAGGGGTGAGGAGAGGGAGGAGGAGGGAGAGGGGTGAGGAGAGGAGAGGAGTGAGGAGAGGAGAGAGAGGAGAGAGAGGAGTGAGGAGAGGAGAGGAGTGAGGAGAGGAGAGGAGAGGAGAGGAGAGGGGTGAGGAGAGGAGAGGAGAGGAGAGGGGTGTGAGGTGAGGAGAGGAGAGAGAGGAGAGAGAGGAGTGAGGAGAGGAGAGGAGAGGGGTGAGGAGAGGAGGAGAGAGGGGGGAGGGGAGGAGGAGGAGAGGAGAGAAGAGAAGAGTAGAGAAGAGGAGAGGAGAGGAGTGAGGAGAGGAGAGGAGAGGAGAGGAGAGAGAGGAGAGGAGAGAGGAGAGGCGAGAGAGAGGAGAGGAGAGGGGAGGAGAGAGGAGAGAGGAGAGGAGGAGAGGAGAGAGGAGAGGAGAGGGGGAGGGAGAGGAGAGGAGAGGAGGAGAGAGGAGAGGAGGAGAGGGGAGGAGAGAGGACAGGAGAGGAGTGAGAGGAGGAGAGGAGAGGAGAGAGGAGAGGAGGAGAGAGGGGGAGAGAGGAGAGGAGAGGGGAGGAGAGAGGACAGGAGAGGGGAGAGAGGAGAGGAGAGGGGAGAGTGAGAGGGAGAGGGAGGAGAGAGGGACAGGAGAGGAGAGAGAGGGGAGGAGAGGGGAGGAGAGAGGAGAGGAGAGAGGAGGAGAGGAGAGGGGAGGAGAGAGGACAGGAGAGGGGAGAGGAGGAGAGGAGAGGGGAGAGAGGAGAGGAGAGGGGAGGAGAGAGGACAGGAGAGGAGAGAGAGGGAAGGAGAGAGGAGAGGAGAGGAGAGGAGAGGAGAGGAGAGGGGAGGAGAGAGGACAGGAGAGGAGAGAGAGGGGAGGAGAGAGGACAGGAGAGGAGAGGAGAGGAGAGGAGAGACTGATTCATTTGTTTGCGTCACTTGAACCAGGGAGACCCTCACCTTCCGACTGAAGAGCTGCTCCATGTGGGAGGTGCTGGGGGGGGCAGTCTGGGGGCTGCGCTGCCTCTTCAGGGACTGACGGGGAGCGGGGGCCGAGGCCGGGGCCGAGGACGCTGCCCTGTCCTCCTCGTTACGGTCACTGTCCTCCTCGTTACGGTCACTGTCCTCCTCGTTACGGTCACTCTCCTCCTCGTTACGTTCACTCTCCTCCTCATGGTCAGACTCCAGCCAGTCGATGGAGCTCTCAGAGTCTGTAGACATGGCTACTGCTCTGAACCAATGACCATCACTGACCTGCAGAGAGAGAGAGAGAGACAGACAGAGTAAGTAAGTAATGTTTATTTATTTAGCACATGTTACAGACCCAAAGGTACAGACCCAAAGGTACAGACCCAAAGCACTTTCCAATGTTCAGAGTCAGATATTGTTCCAATCCTTCCACACACGGTGATGACAGAAGCGAGTCCAGAACACACTGGACCATCAAAGCCTCTGACCCAACACCATCCATTCACTCTCTCATTTACATTCAGACCTATTGTGCATGTTTTTAGTGGTAGGGGAAACCGGAGCGCCCGGAGGAAACCTACGCAGACACGGGGGAGAATATGCAAACTCCACTCAGAAAGACCCTGTTCCGACCGGGATTCGAACTCAGAACCTTCTTGCTGAGAGGCGAGAGTGCTATCCTCTCTGCCACCGAGCCGAGAGAGAGAGACAGAGAGAGTGAGCGAGAGAGAGAGGAAGAGGGAGAGAGAGAGACGGCTTTAGGAGCACCTTTGTATCCCATTGGGCACTAGCACTTGAATTGCACCTGGTTTATTGACTTTAACTGTGTTCATTATTATCTATGGTATGAAAATAAGCTTCATGGTGCTGCTAAATCCACTCCAACTGTAGTTTTGATCCTAGGTCGGCTCAGGAACCTTCTAAACTCGTCTCCAAGCAAACCCTTCCTCTGCAAATGTGCTTTTAGCGAGAAATATAGATTATTTGTGTACTGCTGTATTTCACAACAGAAGCACAACTGAAATCTCCAGCTGTGACTATGTTTTCTCATTCCAAAGCGAGATTCGAAAGGAACCCGCTGTAGGGACCAGGATGTCGGTACATTACTATAAAAAAACACAGCTTTTTGGTTTCTCTGATCGCCTTCTCGTTCTGTACTTCAGGATCTTTACGTCGCTAACATGCGTAAGGAGTGCATTCATTCACACTGACATCTGACCATCTGTCATTTCAACACATGTTTAACTTACACCCAATAGGTTCCCTTTGCACTGCATCCAGCCCAGAACAGACTCAAAATGATTTCAACATTACCCAAAGCAAGAATATATGAAACCATACTGGACAGAAACACACGATTTATGTCAAAACCGTAGAATGTCCAAGTATTTAAAATATCTATATTCTTTAGTTTAAGGAGCTATTGTTCTGTGGATCCTTCTGCAATTACAGAATATATAAAAATGTAAATGCACTCTTTATCTATCCCCGTAGGGAACTTTGTCCTCTGTATTTGACCCGGAACCCATCTCCTGGAATTGGAGGATTTACCTAATGCGCATGTTTTTAGTGGTAGGGGAAACCGGAGCGCTTGGAGGAAACCTAGGCAGACACAGAAAAAACATGAAAACTCCACTCAGAAAGGCCCTGTTTCGGCTGGGATTCAAAACCATCCCAGTCTTCTTGCTGAGAAGCGGGAGCGCTAACCACTCAGCCACTTGCCGCCCAAAATAAACAGAACTATACAAAAAAGCAGCAGCAAATACCATAGTATTTCATCAGTATACTATATTTCATTATAGTTATATTTTCTGTGTGTAAGATCCCAACGCAATGTCCATGTGCACACTGCAAAAAGTGGTGAAAGAAAAGTCAAAAATCGCTCAAATTTGGCAAAATGTCTCTTAATCTACATTAAGATACAGATAGAGGGAGCTGAGCCGAAAGGCAAAGCTCTCGATTTACCGGTCAATCTTTGTTCCCTCCCTCACCTATGGTCATGAGGGAGCAGCGTCTGCAGTCAGAGCTCCCTCACCTATGGTCATGAGCTTTGGGTAATGACCGAAAGAACGAGATCGCGGATACAAGTGGTCGAAATGAGCTTCCTCCACAGAGTGGCTGCTCCCTTAGAGATAGGGTGAGGAGCTCGGTCACACGGGAGGAGCTCGGAGTAGAGCCGCTGCTCCCTTAGAGATAGGGTGAGGAGCTCGGTCACACGGGAGGAGCTCGGAGTAGAGCCGCTGCTACTCCACGTCGAGAGGAACCAGTTGAGGTGGCTCGGGCATCTGTTCCGGATGCCTCCTGGACGCCTCCCTGGGGAGGTGTTCCGGGCACGTCCCACCGGGAGGAGGCCCCGGGGGAAGACCCAGGACACGCTGGAGGGACTATGTCTCTCAGCTGGCCTGGGAACGCCTTGGGGTCCCCCCGGACGAGCTGGAGGAGGTGTGTGTGGATAGGGAAGTCTGCCCCCGCGACCCGACAACGGATAAAGCGGAAGAAAATGGATGGATGGATGGTATCTTAATCTGAGCACATTCTGACTGAGCCTTAAAAGAAGATTTGCCAATGGGACAAAGAAAAATGATCTTGTTTTAAAAGATACAGAAATGTCTCCCTTTATAATGAGAAAATAAAGCAGCAGTTCTTGAAATAAGACTAAATGACTTTGTCCCATTTGAAGAATCTAGTTTTAACACAGTCAGAATGTGCTCAAATCAATCTAAAAACCACCTGAACCAAGCTTTTTTTTACCTCATATTTAACCATTTGTTGCAGTGCATACATAAGAATACAATCAGGCAGCAGTAGTGTCACCGTATGTGTATTTCAACATATGTCTCATGTCTGTGTGTGTGCGTCCCCATGAAACATTAGTCCATGTGCGTTCTTCTATCGCCGGCACCCAGCTGCTGCCGCTGCACTCATTCATAAACATCAAGCGCCTGTGTCGGAGGCCTGGGGTCTGCCGCCATGACAACCACCGGCTCAGCAACACACAAGGGCCACTCACCCCATAAAGGCTCTGGGGATAATCAGGCCAATCATGTCCTGGACACTATGAGACTATAACAGCGACTGTGTGACGCAACAACAACACAACACACCCACACAATGCACTGACCTCGGACTAAAACATGGGCTGTATGCACACAACAATATATTACCTGCACTAGATTGAACTCAGCCTGGTCTTACCATACCATCGTACTAGTTTCATTTGGTACTAAGGTCTGGATTTGTTCCATTGGGCTTCGTTAACAGGTGGGAGGGGCTAACTCCTTTTGCAGATTGGAACGATTGGATCTGAGTTTACTGTGACGTTTGTAATGAGCCAGAGTGAGGTAGCATTTAGCATTTAACCTAGCTTTAGCATGTAGCCTAGCTTTAGCCATCTCCTTTACCACTAACAAAGTCCGTGAGGAGTAGAGTCACAATATCTTTTCCTCAGTGACATTTACTAAACATTCCTCTTGCTCCGGCTTCAGTTTCTTGATATTTGGATTGAACCAGAACAGATTATTTTACTATCGCATTCTCCGACAAACTACAACCAGCAAATTCAGCACAAACTCTTGACGTCACCGACACCGACCTACAACACCCGCCTCCCCCGCTCTCTGATTGGTCGGAGGAGATTCAACCGAGGAAACTGCAGCCACTAGGATCAGACCCAGACGTACATGTAGGAAATGACCATGGACCAGAGTTTACACATGGTAAGACCAGACGTACATGTAGGAGATGACCATGGACCAGAGTTTACACATGGTAAGACCAGACGTACATGTAGGAGATGACCATGGACCAGAGTTTACACATGGTAAGACCAGACGTACATGTAGGAGATGACCATGGACCAGAGTTTACACATGGTAAGACCAGACGTACATGTAGGAAATGACCATGGACCAGAGTTTACACATGGTAAGACCAGAGTTTACACATGGTAAGACCAGAGTTTACACATGGTAAGACCAGAGTTTACACATGGTAAGACCAGAGTTTACACATGGTAAGACCAGGCTAGCATATACTATACTTGCTTCTTTATTACTGTCGAGAAATGAAGACAGAAGCAGCAGTGATCGTACCCGGTTTATTTTACTTTTACTTTATTCTACTTATATCCTTCCTTTTATGTAAATAACTTTGCACTATAGATTTGTATATGTTAGTATTGAAGTATTTAAAGCAGGGGTCTCCAACCTTTTTCAATCAGAGAGCTACTTTTATTCAACATAAGAGGCAGAGAGCTACTTCTGTTGAGGTAAAAAAAAAAAAAAAAAAGTGAACGCATAAACATACCATAATACTGTAAAACCCTATATTTATACTTTTAATAGATATACGTAACAACTACAAATGTATTAATTCAAGATCATATGTTAAATTCTGTCCTTCGGGAGCTATTGGTAGCTCCTGAGCCACAGGACAGCTAGCTAAGAAACATAGCAGTTATACCTATAATGTACATTTTGTGTGCTCCCTGTGTCTCTTAAAGGATATTTTATCTTATTTTCCAGTTCTTCCAGATCAAACAAAAGATGACAAAGCTTTTTATAGGATTTGTATCGATGTGAATCAAAACAGAGACGTCATCACTTGAGATATTAATGACACATGTTTGAGATAAAGATAGTGTAGTAACAACGTGGGTCTGAACACACACGTTTAGTCCTTCAGATGATAAAGTTTAGCAGAATTAGCGTACACCATATGTAGGTCAGATTCTACATTATGCAAAAGAAGTCTTATGCAAGAGATTTTGTACTTGTCTTGCTACTACATCATGCTAACGTTGGAGATTTTAGATTTATTTCCTTGTTATGCTAAAGATAGACAGTTTATACTTGCTTCTTTTTAGGGAAGAGTTTGTATTTTATTTAAGGATAGAATTATTATTAATTTATCTGGTTAAGTTTAGCAAAATAAAGAAGCTAGTATAAAATCTCTAACTTTAGCATAATAAAGAAGCTAGTATAAAATCTCTAACTCTCTAAAACTAGACACTAATTTGAGTAAATAAAATGACATAAAAGTGACATTTCTTGAGTACTTTTTAACCCATTTGAATCTCTATCAGAATAACATGTTAAAAAAAACGTCATGACCCATAAAACGTATTAGTATTTTGAGTTCTAAAAAGAGTATTTATAAATAATCACAGCTGTATCAAAGTTGGTATTGAGTCGTTTTTATCTAGTTTTGAAATCAACAAAAAAATATATATATTATTCAACAAAAGCGTGTTTTTTTCCGACAACCTCCAACCTGTTTTGTTCTCGGTACATATGACAACATTTGCAAGAGGAGGGACGACACATTATTTATATAGCTCCAATAAAACAACCCTACTTGGAACAGGGAAAATTGTAAGTACTTTTTAAATTTTCTTATTGTTTGATATGTTTTAAGCAAATTAACTATCTATATGTGCGACCTAAAAAACAAACTATAGCATCTTAACGTACCAGGTTATACGTAAACAGACCTTGCTGGTTAATAATGAGGTCATACGATTAAATAACAGATGTATAGGCAGATCCTAACCACAGCAGGTAATCTCACAGATGTTGGGTTTTTGATCATTTCACCTCAGACAACAACAGAACATAGAAATACTCCAATACCTATGGCCATCAGAGCCAAGCGCGCACCTGCCCAAACCAGACCAGACAATCACACACATATAAGGTTATTTATATGTGGCATTTACGTAAAGGAATCTTGTTTTCAGTCTTATAAAACAGTAATATCATCACATAAAGTCTATCTATCTGTTCTAGCATTAAGGCCTCCTCTCCACGCGTCATCATTATAAGACATAAGTTTAATTAACGCGTATATTTCTGTGTGTATAATATATATATAGTAAAGTGTGTGTCATCACCACTGATTCTCCTTTATCATGAATGATTCAAAAGCTGCTGGTTGTGGTCGTGGAGCACTTGGGACGCAGACACAATGGACTTCCTCCTGAGCCACTATCATTCTGTGGTCCAAGCGCGCACAGTGAAACCAGAGATTATGTAAAAGATACGAAATAAAAATAAAATCAAGATAAGATTCAAGCACGTTGCTTGGTCCCACAGCGCGTATACGCTACAGTAAAACGCGCACACAAAATATACAATACAAGAAGATGGGAATGCTTTTGAACTAGGAGAGAATGTTGCAAGAAAGTAGTTAAATTCTAAATGGTTATAATATATGTTTGGCTTTGTTCTGGCTACATTCATTCACATAGTTTCTGATTGAACTCAGGATACAAAGAAAGCACAAAAGCTTTTACGCACCAGTATGTGTTGAATTTGTGGATGTGGCTCTCTTCGCGGGGGGTCTATCCCAGTGTCTCGCTGTCTCGCTGCGTGTAAATGACGTAAATCCAGTTTCAGGGGTGAAGCCGAAGCTGAAGTCTCGTCCCTGGGTCCGTGGATGCAGGAGCGGAGCTGGTGGAGGCTGTGATCGGCCCGTGCAGCTTCCCCAAACGCAACGTGTCTGCGGGGGGAGGGGCTACACGCGACCCACTACGCCATTCGCCTGTCACGAGCCCAGCGTTTAGCCAATCAGCGTGCGAGTCTGGGGCGATAGGCACGGTCCCGTTTACATACGCAAATAGCATGGAAATGACACCAACACGTGGACACGCGGATCGGTTTCAGAGGCAACAGCTGGAGAAAAGTCAACAGAGG